CAGCAGCAACTGGATTCCACTCATAGGGAACAGCATGCCAGAACAGTATGAGCAGGACACTCAGGGGCTAGCAGCAGATGACATGAGAGGAAGCAATGACTATGCTGAAAGGAAGGCTAGGGGATAGCATTAATTCCAGGCATATTCATTGCCTGCTGACTCTTGCTTTGTTGGATCAGATTAAGGTCAACCTGCTCCAGTACTCTGCTTCCTATAGCAGCTAACCAAACACCTATGGAAGCTCACACAGAAGGAGCATGAAGGTGATGTCATTGTCTGTTTAGAACCAGGTTGTCTCCAGCCACTGGTACAGAGCAGAAGCTACTCCATCTTTGAACATGAAGGCTCCATTTAGTGAACCTAACTATCAACCATTGACAGGACTTGACCTCCATGAATTTGTTTTGTCCTATTTTTCTGAAGTTGCTTTTTGAAGCCATCCAAGCTAAGACAACATGATGTTTTGTGGCAATGAATTATGCAAGTTAATTATGCTTCTTACCATCTGTTTTGTAGCACTTCCTTCCATGTGTTTTAAACACCAGGTGATTACTTGCTTCCATGTGTGAATCAGCCAGTTCATGTATTTAGTTGAATTATTGATTGAACATACATATTGGAGCCTTATATTTCTTTCTCTTTGTATACCACCCCAGTATGTCGGCAGATTAAGGTGCAACCAAGAGGCATTTTTACTGAAGTAAATAATGATAAATATATGGATAAATATATAATTCAAAAAAAACTTGAAAAGGAAGGAGGGCAGGTTAGATGTGAAACCTGTTAAGGAGAAAGGTTTAATGCAGAGATGGGAAACCTGCTGCCCTCCAGATGTTGTTGAATTCCTGTTTCCATTAGATCCGGACAGCACCATCAGTGGTCAAGGATGCTGGGAGCTGTGGTTCAACATCTGAAGGACCACAGGCTCCCTGTCCCTGATTTAAGAAGAGAATTGACAGGGTCATAACATTTGAAGGAAAACATGGTTTTAGCCAATGCATTTACAACTGACTAGAGGAAGATACAGTAGGAAGAAGGCCCACAGCATTGTATCGTGTTTTCAGGTTATCAGAAGCAGTGTTTAAAAACAATGAAAAACATTGGTCTAGGGGAGAGACTACCAGAAGGATGTGCAAAGGCTTTAGCAGGAGATTCAGAAAGGAAAGAGTAGATCTTGAAAAGGAAGACATGATGTGATTGTTGTGACTGCACGTGAGAGATATGCAAATGGAAGAAAGGAGTCAAGAGATGACCTCAGGCTTGTGATGCTATTGCATGAGAAAAAATGATTTCCCTCCACTACTTTAATGCAGAATGATGAGGCCAATTACACCAATTTGTGGATCATAGAAGTCTCAGATTCTAGGAAGGGACCTAGTCTCTCCTAGTTAGACACTTCCTTCATACTCATGCTTTGTTTCCTCAAGACAAGTTTAGCCAGTTCTGGGGCAGTTCTAAGCCAGAAAATCTGAGTCAGCGACACATTATGCGGACAGTGATCTTGTTTTAAACACAGAGTTAGGACACTCATTGCTCACTGCAAGCCCAATAAACAAGCAGATTCCCGAGGGGTCATTAAGGCCCCACCCTTAATAACCCCACCATTCTCTTCTGGAAGGATGCTATCTTCTGGTTTTCAATAAGTGTCCTTCACATATTACTGTTTTTATGTGTAGAAGTAAAAAACAAAAACAATCTGTTTCAAAGACAGGGGTCTCTGAATTCAGAGCTCAAACCCCCACTAAGGGCTCATGGAGTCGGGATCCAAGTCCCAAATCTCCATGCTCCAACTGCAAGCGAGTGGAGGAGATTAACGAATTATGAGCCAGCTCTAATTAAACGAGGAATTAATTCCAGAATGCGCTGATTAACTTAGGATACTGACTCATACAAGGGACTTCATTCTAGGCTGCACACGTTGCATGAACTTCCTCCAGGTGACCATTCTGTGTGTTTCCTATGTTCACTAGCTACCAGTAAACATAACAGGCACACTTATTTCTTGCAGAAATGAACTGCAAGGCAGGAATTCAGAGTCAGACTGGGAATGCCAAATCGTAAAATTGAAACATAGCTCAGAGAGGGCCTGAGTCAACGGCGCAAGAGTGGGCGGGGAAAGAAAGAGAAATTGGCTAATTTTATGTATCCTTTGCTTTTTGAGCTGCTATGGGAGTACCAGACTTTTGTGTGAAGGAAATTGGTGCTCTGATTTTTAGAAGACACTTGAAGGGGCAAACATGCTCAGCAGAATGGACTGAGACACTTCGCGCTGCAGAGAGTGGCTGCCACATATAAAAGTGCCTGCAAATCTGTGCACATAAAGAAAGAAATGTAGTAGCCTTTGCCTGCTGTGCTAGTTTTTGACTTACAGGGAGGAATGTGAGGGAGCATTTATATAATCACAACCTGCTAATAGTGGAGGCTGGTTTATGGGGCACGGCCACGCTAATCACAGTCTGCCCCCAGCCAGCCCCCCCATGCTTGCCTTACTACTTACAACCAGCCCAGGGAGTGGCACTGCCGGTCAGTTCCTTTGTCTCAGTGTGGTCCCTTGTAGGATTCAGCAGCAGGGAGGATGAGGACAAACCTAGAATGAGTTGGCCCTTTCTGTAATTGGCTCTTGCTCCACCTACAGCTGATCCCCATCTTCCACCCTACCAGTCCCTAGGGGCAGTAGCCGTCACTGCCCTGCAATGCTACGGTGAGACTGACTACCACCTGGGTGTGTGTGTCAAATCCAGAATGTGCTCGGTCGCAAAAGGGAAAAGCTGAGGTGCAGAAAAGTACAATGCAAGGCATTCCAACAAGCAAGGCTGTTTGCCAGCACAGCAATGCCTGAGTCCACTTGGCAGCCTTGCTGCTTTGTCACCCAAACATATACAGCGGGCTTTGGGTGTAATGATGGGGAGAAGTTCCCACCATTTGTGAAATTCCCTTTTTTCTCCCTAGAGAGGCTCAACAGTGTCCACATTAATAGCTGTCCAGTGCCAGGCGAAGACCTTTCTTTTCTTCTAGGGATTGTAAAGTTGTTAGAGCATCATTTCCACACCTTGTATTGATATCCTTTATGCGAGTCTCGGCTGTTATTCTGATTAATTTTTTTTGCCCTGTGCAGTGTGTGTGCATTTTGATTAGTTCACCTACATCATTTTAGTGTTGTGCTATGATTTTTAGGTTTGATTAAGTCAGTGGTACTCAAAGGATGTGGTGCGCCACACTGGTGTGGCAGGAGAGGATGGCAAGTGTCGTAGGAAGATTCAAGAGCAATCAAAGAAACATTTAAACATTTCAGTGAAGTATAGTACTGAATCAAAATAATATTTTTTTATTTGCTGAATATGGATAAATACCTTCTCAAAATGGGAGCAAGTTGTGTTTCCCACTGTATTTCTTTCTTTCTTTTTTATTATATATATATTTTATTGATTTTAAATATTGTATCACAAGAGTACAAAAAAACCCACCACCCGTCAGTTAGCAAAAATATATTATGTAGAAATAACTTTTTTTTTTACAAAAATAAATAAGGTAAAGGTAAAGGTACCCCTGCCCGTATGGGCCAGTCTTGACAGACTCTAGGGTTGTGCGCCCATCTCACTTAAGAGGCCGAGGGCCAGCGCTGTCCGGAGACACTTCCGGGTCACGTGGCCAGCGTGACAAAGCTGCATCTGGCGAGCCAGCGCAGCACACAGAAACGCCGCTTACCTTCCTGCCAGTAAGCGGTCCCTATTTATCTACTTGCACCCGAGGTTGCTTTTGAACTGCTAGGTTGGCAGGCGCTGGGACTGAGCAACGGGAGCACACCCTGCCGCGAGGATTCGAACCGCCGACCTTTCGATTGGCAAGCCCTAGGCGCTGAGGCTTTTACCCACAGTGCCACCTGCGTCCCCCAAAAATAAATAAATATTGCATATAAATAAAATACAGTTCTTCCATACTTTCAGACTTCCATCTCTCTCAGCATGGGTCCTTCATTTCCTCATTAACTGCATTATATTATAACAATTAAGATAGATTGTCTATATTCTTTATAACATATTATATTGCAGAATGTATATTGTCCCAATGTATTTCTTATCAGTAAAAAAACTGATGTGGCACGAAGTAAATTTTTATTCTGAAAGTATGGCCCAGATAAAAAAGTTTGAGAACTTCTGGATTAAGTTTGTTTTAAAACAATAAATGCTGTTATTTAAATAAACTGCACCACCCAGAGAACTCTGGTTATGGGGTGACTCAGAAACACTATAAATAAATAAATTGAGGCACTGAGCAAGACAAGGTGCAAATGTCCCCTGAGAATTTAGAATTATTTTGAGTCCATAGACATAACACCAATGCAAGCTAAGAACCACCTAAGTCAGCTCTGTTTAAGAATAGAACACTTTCCACCTTTCCCTGGGAAGGTGCAATCATACCCAAAGCCAATAGGAATTTCTGCCAGTCAGAGAGCACAGTTGACTTACTCTGTTTTCTTCTCTCTTTCCAGCTGGAGAAATAGTGCAAAGTGTATTCTCAGGACAGTGGGACATAAGACAACAGCGCAAAGTTCCAGAAATCCCCAAACAAATTAAAGATATGCAGAGCACAGAAGGTGCAGGGGCGCAACCACAACAACACAAATTCCAGGAAATTCCTCTCCAAAGTGATGCAGGACAAGCAGGGAGCTCTGGCGCTTCAGGACAACAACGGGGCTTTCCAGGACAGTCAAAGAACTCTGGTTCTTCAGGTCAAGCAGGGAGCTCTGGATCTTCAGGACAAGGGTCTTCAGGGCAAGCAGGGAGCTCTGGCTCTTCAGGACAACAACGAGGCTTTTCCGGACAACCAGGGAGCTGTAGCTCTTCAGGACAACAAGGGTCTTCAGGGCAAGCAGGGAGCTCTGGTTCTTCAGGACGAGGGTCTTCAGGACAAGCAGGGAGCTCTGGTTCTTCAGGACAACAATGGGGCTTTCCAGGACAGTCAAAGAGCTCTGGTTCTTCAGGACAACTACGAGGCTCTTTGGGGCAAGCAGGGAGCTCTGGCTCTTCAGGGCAAGCAGGGAGCTCTGGCTCTTCAGGACGAGGCTCTTTGGGGCAAGCAGGGAGCTCTGGCTCTTCAGGGCAAGCAGGGAGCTCTGGCTCTTCAGGACGAGGCTCTTCAGGACAAGCAGGAAGCTCTGGCTCTTCAGGACGAGGCTCTTCAGGACAAGCAGGAAGCTCTTCAGGACAACAACAAAAAATCCAGGACCTTCCTAGTCCAAGCCAAGACAACAAGGGCGGTGAATTATCTAGGTAAGGAATGGGCACTGAGAGGACAAGTTAGAAAGGATCTCTTGTGCTTACTGGACCCTATTTTCTGTTCAGTTCAGGTATGTGTATAGTACATAGTCACAACTTCAGAGTCTGATGAGGATACACAAATAAGACACACTGCACCTGGATTCTGTGCATATTTACCTTACGTGCCCCAAAATTGTTTTTTTTTTAGGAAAACCCAAAAGTTGGAAGATCCGGATGTATAGCAGCCCTACCTTACAGTCAGATGATTCAGTGGGGCTCCAGGAAAAGGTGCTTAGCATTGCATCCCACAAGGGGGTTGGAAAGAGTGAGAGAGAGCCATGTATGGATTGGGACTCAGTTAATATAACCACCTCTCCCCAAAGAGGAGGCACACACTCACCCCAATAATCTTACCTTTAACTGTGATATAAGAGGCATCATTATCATCACCAACGAAAGCAACTTCCTCATTTTACTGTATCTCTGTACTTGTAGAAGTTGCCCATGCTTAGTACCTATACATGCAGCTTTTGCCAAGAAAAACTGTAGCAACCCTGCTACAGTTAGGCACTTGCTAGAATAGCCCTGTGAGCATCACTTTCTCACACCCTTATTTTCCCATCTGTAAAAATGAGAATAATAACAACTAAGTTCATAGTTCAGTTGTGAGGATAAGCAGGATAACAATTGTAGAAGAACTTTGCATTTTAAAGGTGTCCTTGCTCGTGTGAACTTGTCCCACTCAACTCAATGGAAAACTACTTAAAATATATAGATTTTACAGCACCTAAATGCATGCTAAGTAATTATGCATAAAACAGCATTATATGCAGAGCTACTTATAGGGAACCATACCATGAAATACACAATCTAGACTAGACCCTAAAATAGAACTTGCCTCCCTGGAAATCTCAACATTTCTTAAGGTAGGTTTTTGATCCTTGCGGCTTGGGAAAACATTTGAAAATTGGTCATTAATGCCCATGAAGGATTCAGGCTGCAGATGTACATTTGAAACACATGGCCCATGAAAAATAATAATCCTGGGAACTGAAGTTTAAGCTTCACAGAGCTACAATTCCCTGCTTCCTTCACAAACTACAGTTCCTAAGATTATTGGGGTGAGTGTGTGCCTCATAGTTCATTTAAAAAAGAAAACAAAAAGGTGGACTTTTAGAACTGCGTTCCCTATGCCTTGCTGAGTTCCCTTCTCTCCATCTTTCTCACCAGCTGCCCTAGCCAACATTTTCCTTCTTTTTGTGTCCTGCACCATCTAAATCCATGCCAAAATATTTCTAATGGATTTGTGTGTTTGAATACTATGGAATACTACTGTAAGAGCATAGAATGCAAGCTTACCTATTCATTTTCACAAAAACGTTGAGTTTTTGGTGCAGTCTACATGCTGAGTTTTGCATTTTATTCATGTGCTTTGAGAAATCCAACTGCATTTTGCTCAGAATAGGCCCATTGAAATAAATGGACCTAAGTTAGTCGTGGTTATTAATTTCAATGGGTCACACAACCCATGGTTGCTCCACCACAATACAGGTCATTTGGGCATGTATATAACTTGTTTGCAACGTATGCACTTTTTACATAGTTGCCTGTCGTTTTCTATCCATGCCCAGTGTTCCAATTCTATACAAGAAGCATAATAGCTTGCTGCCTTCCTATTATAAGTGAGCCAACAACAGGACTGTAGGAGTCACTACAAAGGTTGGCATAGCAAAGAAGCCACACTGTTTATCTACCCAGGCACACTTTTATAGTTGTTTCAGCCAGTTTCCACAACCATCCCCATTTTGTTGTTGTTGTTGTTAACTGAATTTCTATACCACCCTTCATCTGAGGATCACAGGGCAGTTTACAATATAAAAACACAAAAATACATAATGTAATATTGGGTTGCCATGGCGTTGAGACTTCTTCCAATGCAATTTGTTGTTCTCCACAACCATCACGAAAAACCTATTCAGATGAATTGATTCAGGGTGGACTCACTGAAATGAATGAACATAACTCTTAGGTCCCTTCATTTCTACTCTATGTAAAAGTCAGCTGAATACCACGTGAAAGGTTTATGCAATCAAAGGTTTGCAATGGGGGCATGTCCTGCAGTTTGCTCAATAATTGCATTGCATTTGCCTTACCTGGGTCAGCTAGTTCCTCTATGTGTCAGTCAGCTGATCTGCTGAAATACACACAATATGTGTCAATCAGGGCATGATTTCCTTTGAGCATGGACACAGCCCTGGAATACATGCATACATAAAACTCGTGAGCACCTGCATCTGGAAACAGGTACAAAGGTTTTTTTAACTCTCTGTACTGAGTATCAGGGAAGGGTTTCCAAGGGAGACAACGTGATCTCAAGCCTGGTTTAAATTTGAAACACAAGTTGCTTCAGTCCACAGACAGATTATAGTATGTGTTTGGTCAAAGGACTTAAAAGAAAGAAAGAAAGAACAGGCAGATCAAGACTGCTAGCTCAGCTGCCCACGCCTGGAAGCGTGAAGCCAGCTGCAAATCAGGCACAATGTAAGCGGACTGGCAAAACTGGTTTATGGATAAGCACTAAGAAAGTCACCACGCGGGTGGCGCTGTGGGTTAAACCACAGAGCCTAGGACTTGCCGATCAGAAGGTCGGCAGTTCGAATCCCTGCGACGGGGTGAGCTCCCATCGCTCAGTCCCAGCTCCTGCCAACCTAGCAGTTCGAAAGCATGTCAAAGTGCAAGTAGATAAATAGGTACCGCTCCGGCGGGAAGGTAAACGGCATTTCCATGCACTGCTCTGGTTTGCCAGAAGCGACTTAGTCATGCTGGCCACATGACCCGGAAGCTCTATGCCGGCTCCCTTGGCCGATAAAGCAAGATGAGCACCGCAACCCGAGAGTTGGTCACGACTGGACCTAATGGTCAGGGGTCCCTTTACCCTTACCTTAAGAAAGTCACCACAATCTGGAAGATAAACCAAAACCCAGGAGATCCATGTGACACTTTTCAATTGGGTCGGGGCAAAGTATTATTTAAAAGCAGTTTGATTACAATGATGAACCTGAGCCAGGAATCTAAAGGAAGTATTGTTCTCGAACCACAACAACTCGTGTTTAAGGAATTAAAGTTCAATGAGATTCCCACACCAAAAAAATCCCAAGAATCCCCAGTAATCCTACCTCCTCATTTCCTGTCTTGCACAACTGCCCTGCAAAACAATTTCTGGGATAATCAGAGGGGAAAGCTTGGATGGAGATTTCCCCCATTCCTCTTTCACTTCTCCATCAACCTTTTTTGGGTTCAAACTGGCAGTCTTCCTATCAGCAAAAGCTGTCCAATCAGCTACTGGGAAGCTGAGACCAGGGCAATGCTACTCAGCATGACAGGACCACATCCATGCAACCTGTACGCCTCCAAAGATGTTGCAGCAGCAAGTGCCAGGCCAGGTCTCAGGGTGGAGCCTATTCAATGGGAAACGTTGGAGATGGAAATAGCTCAGGAAACAGGATTAGGTTTTTGGAGGTTTGGGTTAGGTTTTTGGAGGTTGGTCAACATGTGTTTTTCTCAGGTTATGATACTCCTCTCCAGAAGTAAGACCGGTCCTGGATCACAGGGTGCTAACCTTTGGGCTTTGCTTTATCCTGCTGAAAGCTACAGTTCACAGCACCCTTAACAAACTAGGATTCATGGGATGTGTATGTGCTTTAAATGTATGGGGCGTGCCTTCTCATGCCTGCTTCTTCTCTAGTCTTCTGTTCTCCCTTCTAGTCCTTCCACACCGTCTTGTGGCACCTACATCTCCTTTCTTATAGAATCATAAAATCACAGAATTGTAGATTTGGGAGGCTTCCTGAGGGTTATCTAGTGCAACCCACTGCAATGCAGGCATCTCCCCCCCCCCCACATTTTTAAAAATTGGTTTTCTCTTATAACACACAAACAGAAACACAAAAGGAAAACATTACACTTAACACAACATAAAAACTTAACAGCAACAAAAACACAAAAAATAAAAGAATTTTTTCTTCTTGTTCCCAGGTATATTTACATTGCTAATAGACTTTCTTGAAACCCTCCAATCTGAATTTCATCATATCTCATATTTAGCAGTTCCCAATTTCATATTTATAACATCAATATCTTCTTTCATTACAAACTCTTATCCTTACTTCCAATTATAATCCATAATAGTCATCATTATTAATATTTTTCTATCCCTTAGCCTAATCTGTTACTTCTAGGAATTTCTTAGTTATCTTATATTGCAATATCTCGCTAAATATTCTTTAAATTTCTTCCAATCTTATTGTGTTTCCTCCTCTTTCTGGTCGCGGATTCTTCCAGTCAGGTCAGCCAGCTCCGAGCAATGCAGGCATCTCAGCACAAGGTCTCCCATCCAGTTTGAAACCATACTGTATCCTGTTTAGCTTTGCAAATGTGCTAGCATTTTTATTACTGAGCCACTACTGTTGGAGTCTGTCCAATCAGACAAGAAGGGAGTGGGTGCAGGCAGTGAAGGCAGACCATTTGATGAACAAATCCAGCATGGAAAATTCAGCTCAACCGATGGGCATCATGGTGTGTCTGTTGCAGTATTGTAGTGGATGTGGGCACCCCATCGATGACCCTCCACAGTAGTTGAGAACATGCTGTAGACAGATTCCTTTACTTCTTGTTGCAGTGGGTGGCATTCAATGCTAGTCCTACACAGAGTAGACCCACTGAAGTGAACAAACATGACTCCCATTCATTCATTTCAGTGGCTCTGCTCTGGACTTAGCCCAATACACTCCAGTGCAGCCCAAAGTTATTTTGACTTTGAACAGATGAGGCAAGTATTGCTAATGTGCAGTCTGTCCAGTGAGCAGCCAGTTCTTAGTGGGGCTCCGCTTATTCTCTGAATGTCACCCTTATCAGCTGAGTTTGTGAGGTAAATGTGGTGGTAACTCCTAAATACCAGTCCCTATTGTGTGTGTGGAATATGCATACCAGCCCCAACGTGACCCACACCCCACTCCAGAGCACAAAGGAAAAACATTTCATTGATCCTTTCCTGAGGTACAATAGGGTTTTGTGCATCTTGTTCCTCCTACATTAATAGGGCAGGAAGCTGTTGAGCAGGAGATGATTCTCCCCGGGTAGGCACACAATAATAAACAAAATAAGGAAAGCAGACACCCATCAAGGATGATGCAATTCTGGGGCATCCTGCTCTAGGGGATGGTGTTTTCATAAATGATCCATGACATGGGGGTCTTGCAGCAGCAATTCAATCTGCTTTGGGTCCATACAATGAAAAGTGATAATCACAAGCCTCAAATAAGTAAAATAAATAAATGAGAGCACCTGCTTTCTCTCCAGAATGAACCCCTACGCTGGCCTTGTGGACTGCCTGCGTGCCACCTGGCTGACGGGAAAGACACGTCCCATGGAGTATCGACAAGGGCAGCTGGAGGCCCTGAATCGCTTCCTGGAGGAGAGGAGGTCGGATCTCCTGCATGCCCTGAATCAAGACATGCGAAGGGTGAGTGTGGTCATTCAGGTCAGAGGAACTGTTAAGTCGTGGGTTGACATAGCAGCCGGCACAGCGATTTCTTCAAGTAGCTCTTTATTCTGGTAAGCTGGAATACAACTGACTGCGACAGCTCAGCCGGCCTGTATTTATAGGCAGCCGGCTGTCAACATTGTAACCACAACAGCCCAGAGTTCCCGCCTAAAATAACTGCCGCGGACCTGAGTGAAAACTATCTACAGACCTGAGTGAAAACTATATACAGTATCCCCCTGTTGGCCCAGGGTGAAACTACACTACATAACACCCCTCCCCACTGAGATAAGGCGTTAGTTACAATCGTAATGGTTTCCTTATATACAGCACTACGCGTAATGGTTCCATTAAGCACAAAAGCATATCGGTTACATTTCCCATACTTAGACCAACAGTGATACCTGTCCAACAACATAGTCCTTTAAATAAGTTGGGCGCTTGGAAACTCTGCCAGACCGCCGGGAACTGGTAGCCAAGTCCGGAGGGCCACACAGTTCTCGCTGAGGCTGTGGTGCGACCCTAGGTGGCGTTGGAACCAACTCCCCTGGATCCGCTGCTGTGGGTGGAGCCTCCGCAAGTGGAGTGGTCTGCGTCTGTTCTGAAACGGCTTGGTTCGGCTCCACGCTGGCCGTTTGCGAGGGAGGTGTAGGTGGGGCCTCGCCATCTGTACGTGTCTCTTCTGGAGCCGCAAGCGCAGTTGGGGGCACCTCGGTAGTGTCCAAGTCCCCAACCCTGCGCCTAAGCTGGTCTATGTGCCGTCGCCACAAGCGTCCGTCTTCGAGTGCCACCTGGTACGAGCGAGGTCCAGTGACTCCCACTACTGTGGCTGGCACCCAAGGGATGTCCCCCACATAGTTCCGGGCAAAGACCTGGTTTCCTGGGACAAATGACCGTGGTGCGTTGGCACAGCCTGGGGGTTCAGCCACGGCAAAGTCTGGGTGTAGCCGGTCGAGCGGTGACCTGAGGCGGCGGCCCATAAGCAGTTCAGCAGGACTCCTCCCTGTGGCCGCATGAGGGGTGATGTGTTGCACGAACAAGTATTCGGCGACCCGCTCATGCCAGTCTCCCCGGTCCAGGCGCGCCAGTGCCTCTTTTGTCGAGCGCACCATTCTTTCCGCTTGCCCGTTGCTGGATGGATGAAAAGGTGCCGTTAGGGCATGGCGGATGCCCAGTCCCAAAAGATACCGCTCAAACGTGCCTGACGTGAACTGCGGTCCGTTGTCAGAGACAAGGACATCAGGACACCCATGCGTTGCAAACAGGCCTCGCAGCACCCGGATGACAGCTTCGGTAGTGGTGGAGGGCATCAGTGCGACCTCCAGCCATTTGGAATAGGCGTCCACCACTACCATAAAGGTCCGGCCGTGAAAGGGGCCAGCCAGATCGATGTGCACCCTCGACCAGGGTGTCTTTGGCGTCTCCCAGGTGTGTCCCTTAGCTGCCGGTGGTGCAGGCCTCGACTCCTGGCACGCTTGACAGGCGGACACCCAGGCAGTGATGGCATCGTCCATATTAGGCCACCAGACGTAACACCGAGCCAACGCCTTCATTTTGACAATTCCCGGGTGGCCAACGTGCAGAGCCTCCAGGACGCGCTGACGGAGTCCCTGGGGAATCACGACGCGGTCTCCCCACAGCAGGCAGCCACGATGAGCTGAGAGTTCATGTTGTCTGGTTGCGAAGGGCTGGAACTCCGATGCAAAAGGCCCTTGTGGCCACCCCCTCCACACCCAGTTGAGCACCGTGACGTTCAGCTTGCGTCGCGTAGGCGAGTCGGTTTGGCCAATCGTGGTTCCAGACGGGCAGCGGCAGTTGGTGAGAGCGAAACAACTTTCCTTGGCAGACTGGAGTGAAGACTTGGACTTGCGAGTCGATGAAGGGGGGGTGTCAGACGGAGCCGATCGGCAGACCTTAGCGATGTGGCCCCTTCTGGAACACTTCCTACAGATGGCGTCTCTGAATCGACACTTGGCACGGGAATGGTTGCCTCCGCAGCCAGCACATTCCGGTTGGCCCTTGGACTTCTGTTGGAACTTCCTGCGCTCCCGCTTTGTCTGGTGCACGTCATCGTCTTCACTGGAGGATGCCTCATCACTGCTGGCCTCTTCATGATGCACTGGAACTGGCTCCCTAGCAAGACGCGGGCTGCTGGACTTGCGGATCTCCTGGGCGGAGCGTTCAGCAGCTTCTGAGGCCACAGCCTCCTCAATGGCTTTCTGTAGCGTGAGGTCTGGCTTGGCTAGGAGGCGCCGTTGCAGATGGATGTCCCGGACCCCGCAGACGATTCGATCCATCAGGGCATCGTCTAAGTCTCGGAACTCACAGTGCATTGCAGCCTGTCGCAGGGCGGTGGTGTAGTTGTTGATTGACTCCCCCTCTGCCTGGTTCCGGTGGTAGAACGCATGGCGGGCAGCAATCTTGGACGGCTTTGGTGCGTAGTGGTTGCGGAGCTTCTCTTGGATCGTGTCCCATGGTGTTGCCTGGACTGCTTCAGGCGCAACCAACGCTCGGGCCGTCTCAAACACCTCAGGCCCACAGAGGCTGAGGAATAGGCCCCGCTTCCGATCCTTTGATACTGCTGTCAGCTCGTTGGCTTGGAGGTAGCAGTCGAACCGAGCGAGGTAGGAGTCCCACGATTCAGAGGCTGGCGCAAACGGCGGTAGAGGCACAAGTGAAGCCATGATTCCGATGCCGGCGTGAAGGGCGATGGATGGCACACAGTGCTCTAGCCAGAACAGTCAGCTCTGAATTGGTTCTGCCCAGTGATTTCGCTCAGTGATTTCGCTCAGTGATTTCGCTCTGTGATTCAGCTCAGTGATTCAGCTCAGTTCAGAGGCTGGCCGCATCTGGCTGTGCTCTGATGTCCATCTATCCCATCCTCGTCGCCAGTGTTAAGTCGTGGGTTGACATAGCAGCCGGCACAGCGATTTCTTCAAGTAGCTCTTTATTCTGGTAAGCTGGAATACAACTGACTGCGACAGCTCAGCCGGCCTGTATTTATAGGCAGCCGGCTGTCAACATTGTAACCACAACAGCCCAGAGTTCCCGCCTAAAATAACTGCCGCGGACCTGAGTGAAAACTATCTACAGACCTGAGTGAAAACTATATACAGTATCCCCCTGTTGGCCCAGGGTGAAACTACACTACATAACAGGAACCACAAGGGTTACGGCATGGTGTGGCCCAGAATGGACTCTGCTAACGTATTTTCTTTCTTGTGTCCTCTGTACAGCCCCATTTCGAAGGGGAGGTTGCTGAGGTTGCCTTTACAAGGAGTGAGGTGAACAATGCCCTTAACAACCTGAGCTGCTGGATGAAGGATGAGAACGTGAGCAAGAACTTGGTAAGGAGGCTGAGTTGAAAAAAGAGGAAAGATGATCTTGTGTGTTAAATGGGGAGAAAAGTCTAGAAGCTGTGTTCATTAAACTGTGGGTGGATCCTGTATCTGTGCAGTGCCCTTTAAAAACTGTTATATGGATGTTCTGTTCGAAGGAGTCATTTAACTCATTCACTATTATTACTATATCTATCTATCATCTATCTATCTATCTATCTATCTATCTATCTATCTATCTATCATCTATCTATTTGTATGTAAGGTCTCAAACTGGGGCCTCCAGCAGCTAGTCTCCTAGTGCTTTAGTTCCTGTGCCAACAGCACTCAAATTCCCACTGGTTTAGTAAGATCACATAAGTGCCCCATTTTAACTATGTTGACTGAATGCATTTTCGCACTAAATATCAGCAATGGTTGAAATGCACATTCAGGCTTTCATTTCTACAACTCGCTTCACTCTTCTTCACTCTGCTCGACTTGCTTCATAGATTTTTGTGTGTGCCTTCATTTCCCTATAGGCCACCAAGCTTGACTGTGCCTTCATCCGCAAGGACCCGTATGGCGTGGTCGTCATCATTGCACCCTATAACTACCCCATCAATCTTCTCTTGGTGCCTCTTGTGGGGGCCATCGCAGCTGGTGAGTTAAAAACCATCAGAGGTCCTCCATCTAGTGCTTCACAGCATCTCCCTTCTTCCACTGGTCTCTCTACAGCGACTGCTGCTGCTTGTTTCCAGGCATGCTGTAGTCTTTCTGTCTCCTGTCGTTATGGTAATGTGTCCCTTCTCTCCCACCAGGGAACTGCGTGATTGTCAAACCCGCAGAGCTAGCCCGCCACACTGAAAGGCTTCTTGCCGAAGCGCTGCCTTGTTATCTTGACCCGGTGAGTTCCTTGGTTCTTTCTTGTTTTCTCAGAGCACAACTGATGCCAACTTACTGGACGTGCCTTCTTCCTGCTCCTGAGCATTACAGTTGTCTTCCTTCCCCAGTGTGATGGGTATTGTCAAGTGGTGGCGCAGGGGCCACCACTGAACTATCTCTCAGGAGGGTGGTGGTGGTAGTGGTAAACTGAATTGCATAAGAGGAGGATCTAGTCCAGGACTCTGTTTTCCACAGTAGCCAACCTGATCGCTATGGGAGGTCTGCCAGGGAGGAATGAGCACACCATCACTTTCCTGCCGTTGTTCCGCAGCAACTGGTATTCAGAGGCTCACTATCACTGATCTTGGAGAGTTGCACTCTTCATAACAATAGCCACTGGTAGCCTTATCCTGCATGAATTTGTCTAATGTGAACCTTCTCTTATTTTACAGGAAACCTTTGCTGTAGTGACAGGTGGCTCTGAAGAGGTAACCAAACTCCTGGAGAACCAGTTTGATTACATCTTTTTCACAGGTGATCTCTCTTTTTTTTATTTAAAAAAACCACCTCCATTTTTATTACCATCACCCTTTATATAGTGCTTATAAAATTAAAGCATTCTCATAAGCCACATCCCAACAGAATGTCAAATTTCCACTTTTTAAAAAAAGCAAACCTTGATCTTGGAACGGCAGTAAATTATAAAAAATTAAATATGGGCTATGTTACTTATTTCCAGAATTCATTTTTACACAGATTCTTTCTTTAAGCACAGGATTTGGGGTTCCTTGGTGCAGAATGTGAGGTGGGAGTTTGGGGAGTAGCGTATCTCTCTCGTGACTCCCCTAAATCTTGCCATCCCTCTGCAGGGAGTCCCCGCGTGGGAAAGATTATCATGACTGCAGCAGCCAAACACCTGACCCCATTGACTCTGGAGCTGGGGGGCAAAAACCCCTGCTACGTGGATAAATGCTGCAATTTCCAGAATGCGGCCAACCGAATTGTCTGGGGAAAGTTCTTCAACGCTGGCCAGACTTGCATTGCACCAGACTATGTGATCTGCACCATTGAAACGCAGGAGAGGCTGATGCCTTGCCTGCGCCAAGCTATCCGTGAATTCTACGGTGACTGCCCCCAGGATTCACCCGACTTTGGCCGTCTGATCGACGATAAGCACTTCCGGCGCCTTCGAGCATTCCTGGAATGTGGCCGAGTGGCCATTGGTGGAGAGTCTGATGAATGTGACCGTTACATTGGTGAGGAAGTGACCTGCTGACAGGGAGCCTGGGGTGGGGAAAAGACCGGAAGACCCTCTTTGATATTCCCCCCCTTTTATTTTTGACATTTATATCCTGCCCTTTCTCCCTAAGGAGCCCTTGGCAGTAAACAATGTAACAAAACAGAATTAAAATATATTAAAAGCATTTATCAACACAAGAGGAGCCCTGGTGGATCAGGCCAAAGGCCCATCTAGTCCAGCATCTTGTTCTCACAGTAGCCAACCAGATGCCTAGGGGGAAGCCCAAAAGCAGGTCCTGAGCACAAGAGCACTCGACCCACTTGCGCTCCCTAGTAACCGGCATTCAGAGGCATATTGTGGGCTTGTGCACTGGGAAGTGCAGCCTTGGGTGAAATGAAGGCCATGGCTGAATTGGAAGGCATGGGAGCAATCTGAGAATATAATGTGTCTTGATGCAATCTTCTGCCTGCAGCCCCCACTGTACTGGCTGACGTGAAGGAGTGGGAGCCGATCATGCAAGAAGAGGTCTTTGGGCCCATCCTGCCCATTTTCACTGTGGGAGACTTGGACGAGGCCATCCACTACATCAATAGAAAGCAACGTCCACTGGTTGCCTATGCCTTCTCCTGTGACTGCAAGGTATGCTTTAGGGGTAAAGGTAAAGGGACCCCTGACCATTAGGTCCAGTTGTGGCCGACTCTGGGGTGGCGGCGCTCATCTCGCTTTATTGGCCGAGGGAGCCGGCATACAGCTTCCGGGTCATGTGGCCAGCATGACTAAGCCGCTTCTGGCGAACCAGAGCAGTGCATGGAAACGCCGTTTACCTTCCTGCCGGAGCGGTACCTATTTATCTACTTGCACTTTGACGTGCTTTCGAACTGCTAGGTTGGCAGGAGCAGGGACCAAGCAACGGGAGCTCACCCTGTCGCGGGGATTCAAACTGTTGACCTTCTGATCAGCTTTAGGGTTAGAGCTCTCCTAATCCAGGAAGTTGGGGATGGTTACAGGAACGTGACCGAAGCTGGCCAACAGCCAGAGAAGTGTGGTGCTGCTTTCAAAATGTGCTTATGCTTGGCTGTATCAACATTGGCATAATGTCCACGAAGCAGCTCCCAGCAGCTTATCTCTGCATGCCCCCAGTGTTTAAACAGTGCGCCGGTGGCAAGGAGGCATGCTGGACCTCGAGATTCTTTGTAACATACAACAAATGTTTGTGTATATGGTAAATGCACAGCCCGAGGCTTGTTTCTTAAGAAGTGAATTCCATGGAGGTAAAGAAGACTTAGCTACAGCATTATTAAGAAACATGTATGGGCTTATTTCCATAGAGGGTTGCAGCCTTGTTTCCCAAGTAAGTATGCATAGGATTGTAGCCTGAGCAAGAAAGAACAAGCTATATTTGTCCTGTGAAAATCAGTGACCACAGTGAATTCTGACAGCAGTGAATTTGCTCTGACCTACAGACATAGAACCTGAGGTTGTTTGTGGTTGTGATGGACAAGGATACAAATACATGCCCACTAAGCCTTTTTTTAAAATAAAATAAAAAATGTACTGAAGTATCTAGCTATACACAGAAGAAGGACCATAAAGTGGTGCTACAAGTAATCTAGTGTGCAGCTGTTTGAAAAATAGTCAGAATTTGGTCTATGGCCAACTCTCTTCCTATTTATTCCCCAGTCCCTTAGCCTAACATTAAAAGGTGATCACCAAGTGACAGAAAGTAGAGCTGAGGCTTTAGGGTTTTAAAAAACCAGCAAGTGTGCCATATCATTTCAGTTTTGTCCCTTCTGCAGTGAATAGTAATTTTGGAGTAAGAGGTTCATTTGCCAGACTGGCAGCCCAACTATCTTTGCAGTGAGTGAGGCTGTGTGGCTGAGACACGCTAGAATGCCTTGCTGGTGTACTTGAAGTTATTAACATCTTTAGATAGCTGTGGTGGCGGAGACTTTAATCATCAGGCTTCAAAGCAGCCCGTACCTACACCAGTTATTATATGTATCAGTGGCATAAATCACACACAGAGGCTTTTGGCTTCTGGACAAAAGACAATGTGTTCTGTAAAACCGCCTTTCAAGGTAAATCCTTCTTCCTAGCCAGAGTTGCTGGTAAACAGAAATTCCTGCACTCAAGTAGCATGAATATTGGGAGAGCTTTGGATGTGGGGAAGGTGACAGTGTTAGTGTCCGGTGTACTTCCTTGGATAGTGGCTCTGACATTGCAGTATAGTTCCATTCCCCCACCTACCTGCGAGATTCAGAGCCCACTATTTCTTTTTTAAAGGGGAGGGAGTACCCAATGCTTTGTATCTTTTAGTTTTAAAAGATCTCTGAAGGGTGTGCACCCCTTTTGTCTGATGCTAGTGCAAGCGCTCTCTCTCTCTCTCTCTCTCTCTCACACACACACACACACGCGCACACACACACTCTTTCAGAATGCAATGTCTTGTGCTAGCCAGTGAGAAGGTGAGTGGAAAGGTCCTAGACTGCATGAAAATTCTAGAAGCTAACTTTTGTGCAGCATGAATGAATAAAGAACAATAGCTCAATTTCAAAAATTTCATGTGTCACATGAACAGTGGCAAAATGGCCATTCCAACACAATTCTATGCATGCTCATGTGAAAGTTACGTAGTTCCACTGAATTAAGTGGAGGCTTACTGTGCAATTCAAAGTGGGGAAATCTGCAAGGAGTCAGACACGCTCGTGATTTACTCCACGCAACGTCCACAACATCCAAACCCCTCCTAGCCAGCAGACCTGGTGGTTTGGATTGCTCTTTGCCACTCAGGAAAATCTGTATAGCATTTCAGCATGAATTTAATGTGCCACAAGACTCTTTGTTGTTTTTGTTCAAAATTTCAGTTCACATTTAAAATAAACCACCTTATTTAAGGGGGGGAGAACCCTTAAAATGTGATATATTGCATAAGCGAATTAAGATCCCTATACACCACATGGGAACAATCCATTGGGAAAAGTTCTTATACAAATGCCATTGAAATGAATGGAAACTGTGCCACAGTCCTAAGTGCCAATTCATGCCCCAGATGTGTATATTTTTCATAGGCGCATATGAAGCTGCCTTAAACAGTCAGGTCACTGGCCCATCCAGCTCAGCATTTTATCTACCTAGAGATGCCATCAAACCCACTGAGACTTTCTATATACAACTCAGCTCTTCCGCTGAGTTGAACCTCACCCTCCCAGCCCCAGTAAAGGGGCTGTGCTGCATTGTGGCAACACCATGTTTGCCACAAAACCTCGTTTGCTGAATTCATTCACCAAATGGGCACTGAAAACAGCTGGATGATGTATCTTCAAAATGTAATATGCGCTACTGTTTTCCTGTTTGGGGTGACTGGGCTGTCTCTGAAACGTAAGCTCCTGCCAAAACTGCTGCCAATGGCCAGCAGGTGGTGCTAGTGCAGCAGACATCTATTATTTCATTTCAACATCTATTTGCATGCACGTTTTAGTTCTGTAAACCTTCCCACTCATCTCCTCTGCTATCTATCAGAAGCCTGAGCTGTATGTAATTTTCTTTTTAAGAATCCAGACTCTGAATGCAAGGGATCTGTTTATTAACAGAGGACTGCAACTCCTGCAGTGCATCAGCTGTGCGCAAATGTCTTGCAGTTCCTTTAGATCAGGGGTCAGCAACCTTTTTCAGCCATGGGCCAGTCCACCGTCCCTCAGACCGTGTGGTGGGTGGGACTATATTTTGAAAAAAATAAATGAACGAATTCCTATGCCCCACAAATAACCCAGAGATGCATTTTAAATAAAAGCACACATCCTACTCGTGTAAAAACACCAGGCAGGCCCCACAAATAACCCAGAGATGCATTTTAAATAAAAGGAAACATTCTACTCATATAAAAACACGCTGATTCCCGGACCGTCCGCAGGCCGGATTGAGAAGGCAATTGGGCCGCATCCAGCCCCCAGGTCTTAGGTTGCCTACCCCTGCTTTAGATTTAGCAAACTTCTAGACAGTAGCCCCAGCATTTGATCTTGCATCCTTTAAATGTCAGAGCACCTGCTATGATTGTCGTAGGGACACTACTGAACACGATCTCCCCTGGATAGCACAGTTGGTTAGAGTGTGGTGCTAATAACACCAAGGTTGCAGGTTTGATCCCCATATGGGGCATTTGCATATGCCTGCATCGCAGTTCACAGATGATTTGCTAGACACTGTCATCAGTACAGAAACTTTTAGAAAGGACTAAGAGAACATGAATGAAAATACCCTAATAAATGTATCGACTCACAAAAACAGACAGTACTCAGTGAGTACTACCTCATTGGGTAAGGGACTTTCCATTTGGGTTTTGAGATGCAAAATGTCAATAAACATCTATTATTGGAGCAAGTTTGATGATGCAGCTCTGAAGAAAATAAATGGTTGGAAGTGTCTCTAATTACAAAAGCTAATACAGTGGTACCTCGCAAGACGAATGCCTTGCAAGACAAAAAACTCGCTTGACGAAAGGGTTTTTTGAGCTGCTTCGCAAGACGATTTTCCCTATGGGCTTGCTTCGCAAGACGGAAACGTCTTGCAAGTTTGTTTCCTTTTTCTAAACACCGTTAATACAGTTGCAACTTGACTTCGAGGAGCAACTCATAGAACGCGGTGTGGTAGCCTTTTTTGAGGTTTTTGAAGCTTTTCCAAAACTTTTCCGACACCGTGCTTCGCAAGACGAAAAAAAATCGTAAGACGACAAAACTCGCGGAACGAATTAATTTTGTCTTGCGAGGCACCACTGTACCTATCAAACCCCAAACTTGAGGCTACCAGGGACAAGGCCCTTTATATTCTTCTGCTCTTTTTCTCTCCATAGGTTGTGAACCACGTATTGAATTGTACAAGCAGTGGCAACTTCTCTGGCAATGATACCATTATATACTCAACATTGGTCTCCTTACCATTTGGTGGCATAGGTATGAATAAGGCCTTTCTCCCCCATGTTGTCTCTTTCCCCTACCTCTGCACATGCTTCCTCCCAATTTGATACTCCTTCCTTTCCCATGGGTGAAGGCCAAAGGCCTTGAAGGTTTCCGTACTGCTCTTGGTGCATTTGTTGATTACACGCACAAAATGCAAAATAGAAAAGGGAATTAGCTGCAAACATGCATCCCAGCGTGCCATTTAGAAGCTGTAGTCTGGGGATCTGCTGGCAGGAAGGGCTCTAGGCTTTGAACCCGTCCTTTACCAAATTATAGCAATCCTTCTGGGTTAACTTTGTTGTTGTGGGGCTGGAAGAATCACTGTTCAATTCAGGCCAGGTCCCAGTACCTCTAGTGCTAGAAGTAGTAGTTGCTTCATATTCATAGGTACTATTTGTATACATACACATTACACTTTTGCAGCATATACACCAAGATAACCATCTGTCTCCATAGGAATACGGCAGCTAATTTTTGTATTCAAATCTGCCAGAATGCAGCATCTCCTTCCCCTCCAGTATTCATATGGCAGGCTTAATCAAAGGAATGTGTTTCACATGTCCAGCACAATCCTGTGCATGTTTACTCATACATTAGCTCCATTATGCTGAAGTCTTGCTCTCAGGCAAGAGTGCAGAGGCCTGCAGCTGAATTTCTTTACATTTTTTAAAAGCTGGTTATTATTTTTTATGTGCCACTCCATGAATCATTTTTGTTGAATAGTGGGTAGACATGGCAGACGACACAGCGATTTCTCCAAAGCAGCTCTTTATTTTGTAAGCTGGAACAGAAAACTGAACAGCAAACAGCTCAGCCGGCCTGCTTTTATAGGCAGCCAGCTTTCAACATTGTAGCAACAACAACCCAGGGTTTCCCGCCTAAAATAACTGACGTGGACCTGAGTGAAAACTATCTACAGTATCCCCCTGCTGGCCCAGGGTGAGAACTTCAGTACATTACAATTTTCACTAGTGATAGAAAAGTGGGAAGTCTTGCCGAACATCAGAACAAAGTATCCAAGTATATACTGTTTGCAGGTAGAATCAGGTAATAAGATACTAGATTATCTTTAGTCAATGATTTTAGGTTGTGATGCATTGCCAAGTGGGTTCAAAACCCTGAAAATGCCTTGAAGATAAACATCAAGGGCTGTGATAAGGGAACTGTTTCTGAGCACACCTGCTGCAATCTGGCTTGGAGAAATTGATGATGATGATGATGATGATAATAATAATAATAATAATAATAATAATAATAATAATAATTTTATTATTTATATCCCACCCATCTGGCTGGGCCATGCCCAGGCTGTTGGGCAAACACTAAGCTTTTGCCAGGGAGCAGGATCTGAACTGTATGCTTTCTTCTTCTGTTGCAGGATACAGTGGCTTAGGCAAGTACCACGGCAAGTTCAGCTTCGACACATTCACTCATCAACGTGGTACACTCTTGCGCTGCATGGGATTGGAGGCAATCAACACCGTTCGCTACCCTCCCTATACCGAAGGCAAATTACAATTGTTGCTCTCCCTTGTTGACGTCAAGCGTAAAGGCATGTGCACCTTGCTGTGAACTCCATGAATCACATATACCTTCTGGCCCCAGGAGCTGCTGGAAGAATTTAGCTGCTGGAGACAGAGAAGATTGTTTTATCTGGCTCTCTCCTCGCCTCCCAATAAGGCACTTGCCTAAACTCTTACCTCCCGGAAAAGCCTTGCCCCATTATCCTGATTACTTGCTACATGCCCCCCCACCCCTCCCCTTTTCCTGCTCCCCAGTCGGTCCAATGCCTAGCTGGTGGTTATATTTCAATGCCATACAATGTATAGGACTACCTACTTCAGTTAACTAAGTACTTGCAACGTTTTTGCAGTAGGTAAAATCAGAGTTTGATTTCCCTTTTAACAGAGTTTTATGAAGCTAATTACTGATTGAATGTCCATGATCACCAATTCCTTTGTAAAGACTGGTGAACACTGTACACTGGAATAGCTATCCTCACAAATATATCTGTATCTGTATGATTTCTTAAGGAGTGATATTTTCATGGGTGAAAGTAGAGGCCAATTAAACCAATTTAATTCCAAGAAGATCCAAAGTTAAATCCATGCAACTTCTTGTACAGCCAAATCTTCTTTTAGTTCTATACCCTCAATGCAGTCATGGACTATCCCTCAGATGCACCCCTTCTAGTAATCACAATTCTTCTGATATCCGTTTCTGTACATTAGCCACATCCTTAACTCAGATTCCCCATCCCATCAATAACTTTTGCACTAGGCAATCCTAAGCATCTGTACTCAAAAGTTAATTCCTACCAAGTTCAACGGGGCTTGCTTGCTAGTAATTATGCTTATGAATGCAGCCTTATTAACACTGCTTGCATAACTGAACATTTTACAAGTAAATGTTTTATTTCTGTAATAAAGATATTGCATCAAAACTAACCAGTTGTTCACTTGTATTATTCAAATGGTGCCATCAGTATACTTAGCATAGTAATGCCCCAAGGAACAGAAAGGGACCAGTAGCAGTACTGAGTGAAGAAATCATAAATGGTTCCTAACAAGGAAATTTCCATCCAGAATGTCTGCTTATCCACGTTATCAGGTTTCTTCATCAATCATAATGAATTTTTTAAATGAACTATCATTCTCTGCATGTTCTCAGATTCCAAGTTTTCTCCACCTTTTCTCTACTCCACATTGTAAATTGTAATCAACTGTTATGAGGGCAGGTTGTATTTCCATGCAGCTTTTGAAACCCTTCCTCTTAACTCAGTTGGCTGAAAGACTGAGCTCTCAAAGTGGGTTGCACAGGAGGAAGCTGCCTATCATTCACCCGTAGTTATGATCACAGCTACACATATGTATATGTGTGTGTATTCATTCCTATTTGCACTACATACAACTGGAAATCAGATATGTGCCTATTTTGTAATTAAAGCTTTTCTTTTTCTTTTCTTTTTTGAAAAAACTGCAATTATATATTATTATTATTATTATTATTATTATTATATCCCACCTTTTTTCCTGACAGGGACTCAATGTGGCTTACAGCTACAATAGGTGGGTATATAGCTGTTTATATGTGGTAATAAGGCCCACACTACCTATTTCTATCAAAACAATAGTTCCTAGTATACTCTTGACACAGCAATCTCGCTAACTGGTTTGTATGGATATTTTGAAGAGGAGAAATGATCATACCAATATGAAATCATTCAACTTACCAAGGTACTCTGCAATTGACTTCAAGGCAATCTTATTGACAGAGAGGAACTTCAAAAGAGAATACGTTAAACCACTGAATTACGAGTAATCAGGAGGGACTGTGTTATTGTGGATAGGACTGGACAATGGATTTTTTATCATAGATGTTAACTGGCTTACCGACGACAAGATGTTTTTCGCTAACAGTCACTTGCAATAACATAATAGCCCCACACCTTTTACATCTCCTTTCGTTCTGACCTCGCTTTACAATACCCCCAAGGATTCATGCACATGCTGCAACTCAGGATAGCATTTCAGGCATCCGATGGAGCAAACTAGTCCACTAAAGCTTATGCAATTTGTTAGTTTTCAAGGTGCCTCTGAGGATAACACGGAGGTGGCGGGGAAGAACTCGGAATGCTGCGCTGAGCTGTTTGGAGGGGGGGTGGAGAAGAAATACAGTAATTAATAGATAAGCAAATAAATAGATAAGATTTTTTAATGTACGCTTCGATCCACTTCGCTTGCTAGTAAAAGTCTACGCTGCAGGGAGACCCGCAGCGGCACCACGCGAAGACGGAATTCCACGAACCTTCACCAAACCATCTCGGCCAATCCCTGTGGACTTTTAAGAAGCTCGCAGCCAATTACGTACTGTTATTGTCCGCGTCATCAACTCACCCTTTCCCCTCAAAACATTCCGCCCTTTCCTATCCTTCCATCCAACCAACCAACCAGCGAAGAGATCCCGCCTCTTCTCGGGGCGCTCCTAGCCAATGAACGTTCAGGAAAGCGGCGATTGGTCCCAGTTCTTACTCCCGCTAGCCGCCGGCTTGGAGCGGAGCTGCGGTCTCTGTCGCGGGTGAGTTCCTTGGCGTCCTTTTTGACGCTCCGTGACGCCGGGCCGAGCGCGCGCTTCCCCCCCTCCAGGCTCCTGGAAATTCTATCCGCGCGAAAGGAAGGAGAGGGGTGGGGGGAGGGAGCGGAGGCCGTAGCGGCGCCTGTGCGCCGGGGACCTTCACGGGGGCGCCAAAGGACATGGAGCTACGCATGCGTGAGGCCGGCTGAGGTCGTGACGGCGCATGCGCCTGGTGGGCCTTGAAGGAGGAGGCAGGGGGATATGCGCATGCGGATTTATTCTGCTCCTATGGCTGAGGGGGAAGGCCGAATTGGCACCGCCCAAGGGGCGGGAGAACAGGAACCAAGGCCCCGCCCCCTGAGTTCCACATCGACCCCTGCGCCCCACGTTGCGCTTTCGGTTGCCTGAGTAAGTGTCAGCAGCGCCCTCCCCAGGTCTCATCGTCGTCTAGGGCGGGAGGGCCGTGCTAGGCCCCGTGTGCGCAGGGGATTCCCTCCCGCTAAGGAGCAGGGGGCGCCTCGCAGGTGCGGCGCCCCTGGCTCTGGGATGCCTCTGCCCGGTTCTGTGTGGGCTTCTGACCGGTATTATTTTAACATTTACCTATAGCAGCCTGTGCACTCTGATAACTTCCCCACTGGGTTGCTGCAGTGTGTGCTTGGTGGGGCTTCCCTTGGAAGCTGTCCCGGTGACAGTGTCACTGCAGCGAGCGGGGACCGTGTCACGCCCATTCTGAAAGTGCTGGACTTGCTGCTGGTGAGCTACGGGACTCAGTTCGAGGTGTTGGTACAAGTATACAAAGCTCTGAGTGCTTTAAGACTCATGTGTATGGCTTCCCCCGACACCTGCCAACTGGGTTTTTGCAGTCTGCAGGGGAGGCCAGACTTGTGGTGTCCTTGGGGAATATTGGGGCACCAATATTTTGCATTGCAGTTCTAATTTTGTTTTCAATGTTGCATTCTTATTAGCTGCACTGGGCTCTCATGAGAGAAATGGTGGGGTGTAAATAATAAAATAATATCTGAATGACTGCTGTCCTTTGTATTTTCAAAGGGAGAATAGTCATTGTTTTCCTGGCCAATAAGCCTTCAGTGCAACCTGAAATTTTCTTTGTACTTTTCCACAGTCTAACCCAGTCAAAAGTGCAATCGTATGTGTGCGTACTCAGAAGTCTCACTGTGTGTGGTAGGGCTTATTTGCTAGTAAGTGAACATTGGCTTGTATAATAATCCTACATATTATGCTTAGAAGTAACAGCTGGTTTGTTCAATAGGGTTTACTTCCAAATAAGTGTATATAGAATTGTATGCTATATCTGCATAATGCCACCATCACTCCATATTAAGATTATGACAAATTGCACATGGGGGATTCTTCAACATGTCCAGAAATATATTTTTTCTTGCCCTCCTTAAAAAAAAACTTTTACCATCAAGTTTTTTGAGTCCTGGTGAACTTGCACTTTTCCTGTGGAATATTTTAATTCATCATATGAAACACAACTGTTGACTGCTGGATTAACAAGATTAGGTAACAGATTTAACAAACTTGATTACTGCTACCTTTTTTTTTTTACAAGAATGTTTTTGTTTTCCTTCCTTGTTCCCTTTGCAGAGGAGTCCTAGACTCAGATTGAACATGCCTGTGTTGTGGATAATGCGCCAAGCTTCCCGAATAGGTAGGCTGCAACAAAAAAGTCATTCGAGTTCAAAGTTGGCATTTGACCAGAATCCAAGAAGGAATATTTGTTTATGTAGACCATAAATCCATAGAAATAAAGTTGCAATGACTGATGCCTTCTAATATCTAATATCTACCACGGGCGATGAAAGTAGACATCTTGTTGGATTTTGAACAACTTCTCTGACACCTCTTATGATAGTATATTTAACTGTTTTGAAGAAGTATTTTAGGAAAGTCCTCCAGTGTTCTGGCTGTCTCCTAGTTGGATTCTACAGTTGAAGAACCTGAAGGGAACAATACGAATTCTGTGCACACATTGTGGATGCCATTGTTCTTGTGTAAATCTTGAAGACTGTGTGGTTGGAACTTAATTGTTTGTAATACTTTCCTAACACGACCTTTATGGTCTACATAAACCCCAAGTGCTTCAGCCAATTTTGTAGCATTGGCCTGCTTAAAGGCACAGCATAGGTTTTGAAGTGCTTCTGGTAGAATCTCTGGAATTCTCTGGAAAGGTAATTGCATAGTTTCATTTCAAAGTGTACATGTAAATCACAAGATTATGGACCTACACTGTAATAGAAGTTGCATATGAATCTGACTAAATAATGGTGGTGTGGTTCTATGCTCCTTTGGGACTCTGGGACTAGTGTTTCTACTCTTATTTAGCATGTTGCCCAACTTTTCTGTTCTCTAGGGTCTCCAGTATGCTTAAGTCTTACCCGACATCTCAGCAACACAACCCCAAGAGCTTCCTACAGTAAGTACATAATGGTGTTCTCTCTGTCTGAACTACTTGAAAGGATAGTTTAGAACATTTGTCTCTAGATGTTGGTCCTAGAGGCTCTTCTTCATGGCATAGATATGAATTTTGATAATATCTGCATGTTCCCAAAAGTGACACCACACATGAATGTTTCTCTTTGAAATCTTTGTTTTAATGAATATTAACATGGGAAATTATTCGTAGGAATGTATTACAATTAAATCTGTGATGTTTTTGGACAGCAACAGCTTACACTTTTCTGTTTTGGCTGCAGAATATGTAAATCTAAGAGAGGAGCCGACAGACATGAAATCCATTACTGACAAGGCTGCACAGACCGTCCTGTGGACAGAACTTATCCGAGGTGAGAAGCAGAATGATGGTTGGAAAGGCTGAGCTGGTAAAGAAGAGAAACTAGTTTTGTAACTTCGAGCAGTTTGTCCGAGTGGGCATGAAGGGGAAGATTCTAATATGCAGTCCTAGAATGGATTATCCAGAGAGCTGGCAACCTCCTCATATCCATGGTCTCCACAGCAGTTTTGTCTTGAACCATCACAAGGTATTATCATCTCATGCTGACTGGCTGACTGTAACTATAGGCAACTCTCAATTTACACGCATTCAATTGGCGTGCTGTGTCTTTCCCCTAGTTTTCCCCAACATTATAGGTACATGGGAAAGTGGAAATAGTGCCCTACCAGGGCATTATTTGCCATTGAGCTAGGTAAAGGTAAAGGGACCCCTGACTGTTAGGTCCAGTCGCGAATGACTCTGGGGTTGTGGCGCTCATATCGCTTTATAGGCCGAGGGAGCCGGCATACAGCTTCCGGGTCATGTGGCCAGCATGACTAAGCCACTTCTGGTGAACCAGAGCAGCGCACGGAAACTCTGTTTACCTTCCCGCCGGAGTGGTACCTATTTATCTACTTGCCCTTTGTACCTGGTGGTAATTGTGACTTGTTCTAAGTAAGCAGGCAAGCTGTAGCACTGCAACAATTGGAATATTAAATCTCGTTTAGTTCTAGGTAATTTATTTAGCAGTTAAATAACTGTCTTAAAATTTGTTTGAACTCTGTTGTTGACACGCTCCCAAGTTTGAGGGTGAACTGTGTATTTAAATAAAACATCTGCTTTGTCCTATCCCTCAGGCTTGGCTATGACCATGAGCTACCTCTTTAGGGAACCTGCCACCATCAACTATCCCTTTGAGAAGGGTCCCCTGAGTCCCCGCTTCCGTGGGGAGCATGCCTTACGCAGATATCCATCTGGAGAGGAGAGGTGCATTGCCTGTAAGCTTTGTGAGGCTGTTTGCCCTGCTCAGGTAAGGCCCTTGTTATCAGCTCTTTGCTTCCTTTCTGATGTGGCACGTGACATTTGTAAGCCAGTGGAAAGCTGCAAGCCATCTGGGAGATAAACTCTCACACAACCTGTATGGATTGGGTAATAGGGCCTATATATAGTCCTGTTCAGATTCTATTTGTGAGTAAATTCTATATCCATGGGACCTGCTTTCTTTATCTGAACTACGTGAATGTCCATTCTCTTTCATTTGCATGCAACTGGTAGCAAGAAGTGAAATAATTTGTCTACTTGGTGCTACAATGCTGGGATAAAAATGACAATGTATGGTAGATCACTTGCTTCTGCTACACATACCCTTGCTGAGCTAGTGCTTGAAATAGGGCTTCCTTTTTGAGCAGGGTGGTAAGCTCTTGTTGAACTACTGTGTTGACTGTGACATCCCTCTAAGCTTGGGTCCCTTCTCTTCCATGGCATCTTTGCAGTTCTGTTGAATCTCTGAGCCTCTTGATTGCAAATGAGGTTGCCTTCATTCCAGCAGGGATAAACTTGCTGTTGCTCCTCCTCTAGTTCAGCATGGGTTTTCAAGGCTTCTATAACTGGGGCTTGGGGAATGCCACATGCTAGTGAGTTACGTCTCTTTCTCCCTCACAGGCAATCACCATTGAGGCAGAGCCCCGTGCTGATGGCAGCCGCAGGACCACTCGCTATGACATTGACATGACCAAGTGCATCTACTGCGGATTCTGCCAAGAAGCTTGTCCAGTTGACGCCATTGTGGAGGTGAATGGGCTGGGTGTTTTCAGGCTAATGAAGAGGGGCTATTACATTTGCCCACTTTCAATTTGTGTCTAGAAGATGGAGCTACTTGGAGAGAGAGTATGCAGTATGGACATGTCTGTGTATACATGTAATTTTTATTTGACTTCATCCTCCTTTCTGTGTTATGCAGGGGCCCAACTTTGAGTTCTCCACGGAAACACATGAAGAGCTTCTGTACAACAAGGAGAAGCTGCTCAACAATGGTGACAAGTGGGAAGCTGAGATTGCTGCTAACATACAAGCTGACTACTTGTACCGGTGATGGAGCACTTACTACAACCCTCACACATCCTCACCAGCCGAAGCCAAGTCTGCAATAAAGGGCATGCACTCATTGTTTGTCTCCCTGTGTCTTGAGAATGAGGAAGACATTGTAGGCAAACTTTTTGAAGATAATGTAGAATGCAGAGTCCTACTTAGAGAGGAAAGGATGAGGGGGCACATGATCCATCTTTTCTTTTAATGTAGGAGTTTTTATTGCTCTAAGGAGGGAAGTTTAAGAGGCAGTGTAAGGGTGTTGGTCTGGGAACAGTTGATGGATAAGGTGAGAGAAAGGAGAACCCAGATCTGTTTCGTGGACCTTTTTTGTTGTTGGAAAGATTATTTACTCTTATATTTTAGGTAGTGGCCTCAAACTTTTTGGACAGGTGTGTATATTTGGAATTTTGGGTGTGTGTCATGGGTGGAATCACAAAATGGCTTTTATGCTGGGCATGGCTCCCATTTCTGGTAGGGGCTCCAAACACACACTCCTCAGACTCGGTGAACATGCATGCACACAAACCACACATAGTTCCCATCTGCACAGATTCCTGTCCTTTCTCTCCACCTTCCTGCCACCAGTTGGCTTACCTGAGCTTCTTCATTTCTCAACTCTCACCAGCTTACCATACAGCAGCAGTGACGGGTCTCCTTTTTTTTTTTTACAAAGCAAACAAGAGTGTGCTGCAAAGTACTGGCCTCCAGCTTGCACTTATCTTCATCTTGTGGGAATGCACTTGGGCCCATGTGAAGCAGTGTGGGAAGATGGCAGCAGCTAGAGGCCAGCACTTCACTTTTACAGTAAGCCCTGAGAACCACTGCATTCAGAACATTGTGGAATCAATTCAGATATTCTGGAAAACTTGTTAAGGGTTCCATCAAGGTTAGAAACATGATGCAGGCAGAAAGCTACCTTTCTCCAATGTGGGCTAAGCAAGAACCTTCCCCACTGACAGAATACCTTTCCTCATAAAGTATGTTTTCTCACATGAGAGAGAATTTTAAAGAGGTAACTTAGCTCCCTCCACCTAGGTGCATTCAGTTTGGTGCAGTTGTGGGAATCCTATACTGCATGCTTTTTTCCAGAATATTTGAATTGATTCTGAATAGAGTTGAAAAAGCTGTTTTTGTACTAAGATAGCTACTGCTCAAAGCATTCTTATCTCTCTATTCTGCAGTGAAAGCTTTGTCAGTACTTGCTTGTTTAAGATATGCCTGAGTGGATAAAGGAGGAACATGCACTCAACTCGTAAAAGTCTTGCTTTGAAAAGCGGGCACAACCTTCAGCTGTTTAGCTGCTTATTGTCCAGAAGAGGGAGAATGCTTATCTGCCTCTTGCATTCTGTTCAGTCCTAGAAACCCTGTTCTCCATGCAGAAAGAATAGTTTTCTTTTGTTCACATTGGTGTGCACCACTACTGGTCTATACCATACTTATGGGAGTTCCAGCAGGCCTCTCGGGACTTGGGTTGCATTATCTCTGAACTCTGATAATTTAAGCAGCCTTGAAAAACAAAAATATTCTTTCTCTCCCACCCCCATCCTCTCTTAAGGATGGAGCCAAGTTCTTCTGCTGTTGGAACATGATCTGTGTTGCACATTTTTGAATTCCTGTTCTGATGCAGTGTTGTCACGTAGCGTTTATTTCTGCTGTGACAGAGCACCCACCCTAAATTCTGGAAGCTCAGGGTTGTGTTAGGATTCACTGGCCCTGTGGAACAGTAGTCTGTATACCGTATTTTTCCGTGTATAAGACTAGGCCCCCCCCAAAAAAATAATGTCCAAAATTAGGGGGCATCTTATACTCTGGGCCATCTCCCCCCATTCTGTAATTTTCTTCTACCAACAGCATCTTTAAAACTATCAGCACTTAGAAAACAAAGATATGACTTATGAGTAGGAATGGGGAAGGTTGGAATAAAGCAGTACTGGTGGAAAGAAAAAAAATCCCTGCTTACAAACATTGTAAGCATATTGATAACAATTTACTATTGATAAGCATTTCATCTCAAAAGTACACTGAGATCTGCATACAATTGTTTATCACAGTGCTGGCTCCTCCTGATGCACTGATCATAGCCAGGAGAACAATAGCTACCTATCTGCATACTACTGTTTCAATCAGTTCTATCCAATAAGGTCTGCATGACCTGCTAGTTCAGTCTGTAGTAACCTGCTTAAGATTCTTCCTAAATGCTTTCTCTTCTCATTAATATACACACCATCTCCTGTACAGGACAGAAAGCTTGAAACACTGGACAGTTGAAGGGTGCCACTATGAGGCTGGGGGAGGGAGGAGACTGAATGCTGGGAGTGGGAAGTTAGTTCCCCCCACATTCCAGGCAGGAAAAGGTAGATAGCAGTGTATAAAATTGTGGTTGTGTACCTCCAATAAGCATGAGAAGCTATCTGATTAGTGGCAAACATTTCCTATACTGTATTTCCACTGATACATTTTTAGTGAGGATGAATCAGTATGTATAACCAAACCTGAAATAGTATTTGAGACATGTCATGGGAGAAAAGGAACTAAGAGGGAGTCAAATGCTTTTCCATTGGAGAAAATGAAACTTGTAAACCGGGCAGCTGGTGATGAGTAAGTCCTCAAGCAAGCTGTCATTTCCACGTGTAGCTTTTCAAATCAAAATGACCATATAATCTCTTAACATAGTGTGAATTGTATTTAGAGCAAAGTTCAGTTGAACTACCTTGGTTTGAACATGTATATGTCATTGTATAAAGGAGGATAAAGGATTGTCATGATGGAAGTGGACAGTAGTGTGTTGCTTATTTATAATAAGGTGGAGGGGGCTAGTTGTCACAAAAGCTGCTGATGAATAGCTCGGGGCTACAGTAGCACAACCCTAGTTCAGTGGAGCATGTTGTTAAGTTGTGCACACTTCTTAACAGGCACCTGAGGCATCTGATTATTGTAAAACAAATTACGATGCAGAACAGCATCTGTATATAATTGCTCCACACAGAGTCAACATTTTTATTTGAGTATGGCTCCAATAGCTCTCTTATCTTAGGTTATTGCCAGCTCAGCCCTCATCAGTGTATATGTGAAGCTGTTTAGCACCAGTGTGCACTGCTTTACACTTACAGTTAGCTGCATTTGCCATGTTATTGTCTATCCACTTTAGACAGATCCTTTGGAGCTTTCATTCATTTTATAGTCCCTCATTCTGAATAATGTGATGTCAGCAAACTTGGCCACCTTGCTGCTCACCCCCAACTCCAGATAATTTATGTACGGTATGTTGAATTACCGATACTGGTTCTTGATCCCAGGCTAAACAGCATCTTTATCTGAGCTATTCAAAATACCAGACCACAAAGAGAAATAAAGACTTGAAATAAAAAGGCGTATTTTAATGGGGTTGGAAAACTTCCTGACACCATCTCTCTGGACAGGGAACACCCCTTGTGCACAGCAAGTCACTAGTTCAACGTCTGCCACTTTGTGAAAAGCTGCTTGAGGGATTTTTCATATTGCTTGGCTGCCTTTTTTGTATTATTTTTATGTTTATACCTCATCTTTCCTTCAAGGACGGTGTATATTGTCCCCATTTTATTCCTGCAACAACCCTGAGAGTGAATGACTGGCCCAAGGTCACCCAGTGTGGGGTTTTGAACCCTGGTCTCTCAGGTCCCACACCAGCTGTCAAATATCTCTCTTGACAGTGCTATTTTTCTAGAAAAAGAGGAGCCAGAACTCACCATGAACGCTTCTCTTATTCTCAATGGCGCCCACCTGAGAGGTGCTAGAACTGAGTTCTGGCTGGGGGAAAAAGCCCCGTCTTTTAATATTGTATCTGTGATGAGATGCTAGCTGCTTTGGACTTCCTTTTTAAAGGAAAAGGGGGTTACAAATGCACAATTAAATTCAATGAATAAATAGCTGGCCCTCAAGCGTGCTCTGCATTACACATGCAGCTTCCACTGGTTTGTTGATTTGCTTCTACATAGTTGAATTGAGTGTTGCAGGCAGGCAAGAGCATAAGCCTCCCTCCATGCCACATCCAGGCCCACAGGTGCCCAGTCCAGGCAGGCCAGAGATTCCTGCGGTTTTTGCCATTGCTGGTTCTGGTGCTCTGCAGGCTGTCAAGCACATAACCAAATCCTTGCCCTGTCGAGGTGGTGGGCATCCGAGGTGGGTGCCCTTGTCTGGGTGGCCATCAGGCCCTCGTGCAGTATCATGTCCTTTGGGGCATCGCTTTGTCTAGCCACAGAAAGCTCTCCGGACATTTTCCTGGGAGTAAGCCCCGCTGAATAAAAGGTGCAGGCTCGGGGCTGAACGTGGGATATACTCCAAGGAGGGAAACAGATCAGCCTCCATTCTGTTGGAGGGGAGGAAAGTGCCTTTCCCTCATCTGCTGCGGAGGCGAAAGGGAACCAGGCCACCGACCTCCTCCATCTCCTCTCCCCCTACCCCCACCCCCGGCCTCGCTGGAGCAGCAGGAAGTTCCTCGGAACCGCGTGCGGGGAATCCTCTTGGGGCGGGACAGATCTCGGTCCTTCCTGGAAGGAGGACAAGCTCCTGTTCCGCGCTCTCAGGACCGCGCTCCAAGGCGCCCGCTTGCTTCTTCCGCCGCATCGCGAGGTTGGTACGGCGCCTTGCCGGCCGGCCGGCCCCACCCGTGCCCTACTTCCTCCGAGCGGCCTCCGCCCGCCTTCCTCCTCCATGCCGGGCTGCTCTTCCTTCTCGCTGCATCCGCTGCCTCGAAACCGGCCTCAGGTCTCCCCAGGAAAGCAGCTTTCCCGCGTTGCGCCTCCTTCCCCCGCCGGGACTGGTCCCCCACCCCACCCCGCTGCTCTTTGTTCCTGGGAGGGACGGAAGGAGGCGGCGCTCGGTTTAGGGGGCTTCCCGCAGTGGATCAGCCGCAGATCCGGAGGCAGCGGCGCAGTGCGCGCAACCAGTTGTGGCTGCCGGTGGGGGAGAGTAGGTAATGGTTAGGGGCGAGAGCGTGGATTGGTTGGTGATCTTATGGGGTGGGAGTTGTGGGGTTGCTCGAGAAGGAGGTTGGTGGGTGGTTCGCGGAGGGGACCTCTTGGCTTCCCCCCATCTGCGTTTTTTTTGAGCCGGGGTCGGGGAGCACATCTAGCCGGGCCCCTGTTTTCCTTCCTGGGGTGCGATAGTGCTGGGTTTCCTCATCCACCCACGTGCCTGAGCAAGTCGGGGAAAAGGTGGTTTCCTTCCGGAAATGCCGTCCTGCCTTCACAATGGCCGCGCTCGTGTGCGGCTGTTCTTTGAGGGTGGCGGTGAGGGTGAAAAGAGCAGTCAACCTCTGCTTTTTGGTGGGCTTCCAAACGCAGTTTTATAGCCGGATTGAGAATCGAGAGGAATCTACAGTGACCTGGTTCTAGATCCTCTGGGTGGGGGTAGTCAACTGCATATACACCATCCCCCACAAAAAAAAGAATCGTGGGAAGTGTAGTTTGTGTAGTTGAGTGTGCTGTATAGGGGTATGTGCTTTAAGTTCCGTATACATATCCCAAACTTTTTCAAACACAGGTTATGGCTACTATATTACCCTCACCCCCACCTCCAAATCCTAGAGATAACAAGTAAGTGAAGTTGTATCTTTTTGTTAGGGTATGTTCTTCTGACGCTAAGGGTCCTCTGTGGAAGTGATGGTGACCTCACAGAACCTTCCTTGTTTTTTTTACAACTTCCTCACTCAGAATAAAAAATATTAAAGGTAGTGCTTTTTTTCAACCATGAAGTTATTATAGTAAGTGCCACACTTTTAAAGAACCAAAAAAGGGGAGGAGGTGCCAGTACTTCGTACCCTTGAGTACCCCCTGAGGAAAAAAACTGATTAGAGGCATGACCCCTGGAAAAAAAGGTTGCAGCACTTGTTTTGCACTTTTCCATGCCCTCTTCTTTTTATTTTTATATGATTCTATGGTTCCCAGAATTGGCACAGAAGAGGGGTTGATTGTTGATACTCTGAATTGTAGCTCTGTGAGGAAAACAGAAGCACCTAACAATTCCCAGCACCCTCAACAAATTACAGTTCCCAGGATTGTTTGGGGCTGGCCATGACTGTTTAGAATGGTACTTCTTTAAAGTATCTGTGCTGTGGGCTGTACAATTTGAAGGGGGCACACCTGTACACTTCCATGTTCATCAAATAAAAAACACCATTTTGCTTATATCTTTTGTTCTCTGGGACTAACACAGCACAAAGCTGGGGAATATAATGCATGAATTTGTACTTGCAATCCATAATCAGAAATAAAATGTTCAGGTAGTGGCATAGTCGTCTGGCACTCATGATCCAGCGTTCCTTCATTTTAAGTCTTGTTATGTTGCACAGTGTTTTTTCTGTGTAGTGTGGGAACACAAAGTTCTGAGAGAGAGACAGAGGGAGAGAAATGTGCTTCTTAGACACCTCTGGAGACTCTACACAGGACCTCACAAGGCCTAATACGCAGCAGGGAGTGCCTAGGTCTTCTGCCAGTAAATTAATAGATCCCCTCTGGGACAGGATTCCTTCCTTTTGGGCGCGCTGAAGAAAGGCAGTGTTCATTGTGTGCACATATTCTCTCTTGCCACTGCAGAATTGTAACGGAATAAATTTGCACCTCTGGCACTTCTTGACCAGACCCTTAAAGGAATAGAAGACTTGTTCTTAACTAAATATGTCAAGTGCTAATACAGGGATGTGGAACCTGCGCCCGCTAGATATTGTTGAGGCTCCAACTCCCATCGGCCACAGCCAGCATGGTCAATGCTCAGGGATGATGGGAGTTGTTGTTCATAAATATCAGGAGAGCCATAAGTTTTCCATGCCTGTCCTCATATAAGGTGCATCCCCCTTCAGTAACATCCAAACAGTAATCAGCCTGGAGTCAAGGGGATCTTCAAAGTAGCAGATAGGTGCTACATGTCTTGGAGGTGATGCTCTGAGGGGATTGCAGGATAGATAGATAGATAGATAGATAGATAGATAGATAGATAGATAGATAATTTATTACGGTTGGAGACCAGCTTATGGATTGCAGGGTACATGGGTGGGAGCAAGACACTGAAAGCGGTGAGCTGGCAAGTTTCTCAGGGGGAAAATGGGAAGAATAGTGGCTGCACATTTTACCTCATAACTTGGGTTCCATAAATGCTAGCAATTTATTCTTATGAAAAGAGGGAGAGAACTAGGAATCTGGGGATTGTGGTTCATGGGGACAGGAGTCCAGAGGACACCCATCCCCCTGGACACCCATGGAAGGGTGCCCTGCTATGAATATGTAGCTTCAGTAGCAAGAAATGGCCTTATGCAGTTTACTGACCTGGAATACTGTACTAGATATTCTGTTTAACCGTAGCCTTGCAGTGGTGTCTGTGGTCTAGACATGTATCTCTGTATGTACTGTATTTTGACGGTTGGTAAGTCTTCACAGTTTCTCCAGACAAGCAGAGAGTTGTGGGAGGTGCCGCTCTTCAGTTATTGCTATTGCTATTGCTATTGCTATTGCCGTCTCTTTGCAGGGGAGATTCACTTTCTCTCAGCACAAGTGATCCACCACTGAGGTTATTTCTCAGGCACTTCTAACAATATGGAGAAGAGAAATTGAGAATGAAGATTTGAGGGGGAAATGCAATTTTTTGACTGACCACCAGATCTTGCCTATTGCTTCTGCTTCTCCTCAGGCCCGGCTCATGACTGCAAGGATCTCTCCCCTGTTTTGTCCAACCTGAGTACTGCGGTGCTCTGCCACCTCGGGACATTTTGACCTCTCAGTGAGCAACTTGGGAGTTCTGAGTCAGGCGCCCATTGTGAAACGGGAGGCCAGGTCTTGCCCTGGAAATTGTGTCGCAATCCCAGAGCTCAGAAAATCCCATGTGAGTCAGCAGAGTCTGGGCGCCAGCTGCAAGCAGTCAGCCCCTCGGAGCTGCAAGAGACACAACTGGAAAGTTGCTGCCTGTGGAGCTCCTGCAGGATTGGCCCCATCTTCCTGCCATCTTTCCACTTCGTGAGACACCTAGAGGTAAGGGAGAACCCTTTTTACCAAGTAGACTTAGGGGGCTTTCGCTGCTACTGCACCTGTGCTTCATGTAGACTCTTCCTACATTCTTAGTGATGACCTTCTGCAGGTTGTCTGTGCCCTCCTTCCTGAGCCTCTTTTTGTTGGTCTGTTATTTCCCCTCCAATGGGCAACCTGTCCCTGAAGGCATCTTCTTTCCTCTGCACAATCCTGTTCCTATTCCCAGTCATCAATTCATTGTAGTAGGACACTTGTTAATAAGGGGAGGACATCCCAAATCCCTCTTTGCCTTCCTGGTCCCAGTACAAATGAACATTAGCCTGTCAAGGGAGGTGATGTGCATATTAGTTCCCTTTGGGTCTCACCAACTCTGTTCTCCTCTCCCTTTTAGGACTCACCTATGCAGCTGCAAATAAAACTCTTTAAATTGTTGTAAAGTGCAATATACAAATGTGACACTAGATGGCAAAAGTGAGCTATGCCAAATTCAATGTATTTTTCAAAACTTTTTTTAAAAAAAGCATTTTCACAGCGTTTTAAATATGTCTGTAGATTCCAGATTCCACCTTGGTCTCCTCCAGCAAACATGGGCTCCATGTTCCGCAGCGAAGAGATTTGCCTGGCCCAGCTCTTCTTGCAATCGGCTTCGGCATACAGCTGCGTCAGTGAATTAGGCGAGCAAGGACTTGTGGAATTCCGTGATGTACGTGCAAGAGGGTTTGGGGAACCTTTTTTGGGGGGTGGGGACACCAAACAAGCATGTTTTAGCCGTTTTCATAGACTATGGGATTCAAGATTTCCCTGACTTTTACTGCTTATTTATTTAAATGTTATATACTGCTTAAGGTGTTTTGTTTTGTTTTGTTTTGTTTTGTTTTGTTTTGTTTTGTTTTGTAGGGGGGAATCCCTAAGCAGTTTACAGAAAGTATAAAATGAATAAATAAAATAAAAAATTTCTTACAAAAAGTACATTTAAAATCCATTTCGATTGGTTTGTTTTTCCACCATCTAAGTCTCAAAAAGTCTTACAACAATAAAAAGACATAATATACAAATTTTAAAAAACAAATTGAACATGAGAAATCCAAGACAGAAATGTAATGACAGGTCTTTGCTTTTAAGTTCCCTGTCTGAGTGCTTTTTCTTTTCTCCATCACTTTTCCCATTAAGAAACCCCTGCTTTTCACTGCTGAATCAGAACAAACGGCAAATCTGCAGAAAATCCAAATTGCCGTTCATTCCAATTCGTATTAAAGAGCGTTGTTTTCTTGGGGAAAGCAGTGGGGCAAGGGGGGAAAAAGTTCTCAGACACGGACCAGGAATGCCTAGAAAGCGCAGGGCAAAAGGTAAGTGTGGATGAGCCCTAATAAAATGGTCAGGAAAACCTGGAGAAGATGGTAGAATTGGGGTGAGATAGAGAAATGGATGTTTTATACCTGGGGAAAGGGTCTTGATGCCATGCAAGCCTTAAGAATGGGTCAGCAAGCAGTGGAAAATTGGGCTGCCTGGTTTCCAGTGTTATCTGCGCAATCTTTGGTGGGCTCTTCACTAGTAATGTGCTTTTTTTCTTTGCAGCTGAACCCCCATGTCAGCGCCTTCCAGCGACGTTTTGTGGGGGAGATTCGGCGGTGTGAAGATATGGAGAAATCCTTCAGTGAGTGGCACTCCGGGGGGGGGGGGCTGTCCTCTGCTGGGTGGCTTGGATGATGACCTTGCCATCAGGTTGGTGACACAAATCTTCTGAAGATGCGCCCAGGCCAGCCATGTTGCCACAAAACTGGCTGGCACACTGCCAAGTGCAGTCAAAAGTCGGGGCCAAGTTTCTGGGCGTTGAAATTGCATTAGGAAATCATGAGACTTTTGCAAACAATGCAACATTTAAGATCTAATTTCTGGTTTCTGGCTGAGGATAGTTGCACTTCCCCTCTCGGCCTGTTTTTACTGTCCTTGTTCAAACTGAAGCCTCTGTAAAAATGGAGAAGGGGTTAGTCAGTTGGTGCATTGGCCATCTGTGATAGCTGGCTGCTATAATTTGCACTTCCTGCCCTCCACCTGCCTGTTGTGACTTCCTGTTTCTTCTTCCTCTATCATCAGTCTGTAGCATTTGAGGGTGGTTTGCATATTCCGTATTTTTCTTTTCTAATGTCCTCCGCTGATTAAGATCTCATTTAACATGTTTGACTTTTTTCGGCACTCAGAACGTTTTGGGAAAGCACTAAGGGCATTTTGAAAAGCACATCATGTTACTATTACAGTGGTACCTCGGGTTAAGTACTTAATTCGTTCCGGAGGTCCGTACTAAACCTGAAACTGTTCTTAACCTGAAGCACCAATTTAGTTAATGGGGCCTCCTGCTGCTGCTGCACCGCCGGAGCACGATTTCTGTTCTCATCCTGAAGCAAAGTTCTTTATCCGAAGTACTATTTCTGGGTTAGCAGAGTATGTAACCTGAAGCGTATTTAAACTGAAGCGTATGTAACCCGAGGTACCACTGTACATGAAACAAACGTATCTCAAAAAGTTTTTCCAGTAGTCAAAAGTCGTTAATGTGAAATATTTGATTTGGGGGAAATCCAGTAAAGCACATTTGCTGCTGCTGCTACTAATATTAGGCATGTGTATGGTGCTTTCAAGAGTTTAAAAGTCCTCATGTGTATTGTTTGCTGGGTTACCTTCCCTAGTCAGCCATATTTTCTGGGAGATAATGGGGGCTGCCCCCCCCCTCTCTCTCTCTCTCTCACACACACACACACACACACACAATTGCAAATTGTGCAATTTGCTGGGGGGGGGCTTGTTTGTACCAAAGGGGAAAATTTCCCCAGTGCAAATGGGAGCCACTTGGGCCCAATCCAGTTTGGAAGTCTGGCACTGGGTGGGGGGGACCTTTAACCCTTTGCAGCCCACTGTAGTCTCAATCCAGATTGGGGGCTGCACAAGTGCAGTCTGCATTGCCAAAAAAGGATCAATTTGTCTGAACGGCTCTTTTTTGGTGATGCAAATTGCCGGTGTGCCCCTGTCCATTTTGGTTCAGCGCTGAAGCAAGGGGTAAAGAATTATAGCCTCCTTATTCCCATACAGCAGCATCCTGTTTCTTATCGGGCAGTACTGACTGGGGAAGAAGAGTAGCTAGCACAGAAGTTGAGAAAGGGGCAGGGTGGGGACTAATAGTAAAGGCCCCTTTTACTATTGGATGATGGTGATGAATGATTAAATTTCTATCCTGCCCTTCTTGCCAGCAGAGCTCCGAGCAGCAAACATTAAAATGTTTAAACAATGCAATTTATACAAACAATACAATATTTGTAATTTTAGGAAGCAATCCACTTTTGTAAAATAAGCCTTTTCCCCAGTAGAACAAAGCAGAGGAAACCTTTTTTTCCCCTTACTTTAGGGAAAATGTGTCTACTTACATCCGTGGCTACAGTGTACTCTGCAAATTCACAGTGCTGTTTATGATTTAGATGCTCTGGTCACCACCTACAGTGGTGCCTCGCAAGACGAAATTAATCCGTTCCACGAGTCTCTTTGTCTTGCGGTTTTTTCGTCTTGCGAAGCATGGCTATTAGCGGCTTAGCGGCTATTAACGGCTTAGCGGCTTTAAGAAAAAGGAAACAAACTCGCAAGACGAAACGTCTTGCGAAGCAAGCCCATAGGGAAATTCGTCTTGCGGAACGACTCAAAAAACGGAAAACCCTTTCGTCTAGTGAGTTTTTCGTCTTGCGAGGCATTCGTCTTGCGGGGCACCACCGTACTGTGCCTCCTGGATTCAGTTGCAGCAAACGAAAATTATAGTGGTTATTTCTGACATCCTGTGCTTAGCTTAGAAGAGCCAAAGGCTCACTTCTTTCTGGAAGTGGAAGCTCTCTCTTGCAATTTCATAACAATGTAATTCTCGTAATTGCAGAAGCTAGCGTATTTAGGAAATTCCTGACTTTCACAAGCCCGTCTAAAGCCTGAGAATTACTTAAGTATTTGGCTGAATCAAGCCAAAGGCCCATCTGCTCCAGCATCTTGCTCTCACAGGGGCCAATGAGATGTAAATGGGAAGCACACAAGCAGGAGGGCATGAGCGAAACAGCGCTCTCCTCGCTTGTGCTCCCTGGCAAATGCTGTTCAGAGCATTGTGCCTCTGGCACTGAACAGAGCCGTCGTGACTAGTAGACATTCTTGAACCTACAATCCTGAGATTAAGAGTATCATGCTTTACCAACGGAGCTATCTCACTATCCTCTGAAAAATCTTTCAAAGCTATCTTTTAAAGCTAACCAAGTTGGTGGCCGTTGCTACACCTTGGGAGTAGCAAATTCCAAAGTTTAAATATATGCTGTGTGTCTTCGTGTGGTACATCTTTGGCAGGCTTGTACAACGTCCAGCCAAATGCGGCTATACCAGGGTCGGCAACCTTTTGGGGCCAGGAGGCCCATTTTGAGAAAGTCCCGCGATCCCCTGTCCCAAAATGGGAGCCGTAAGGACACGGCGTAACACAAAATGGCTGCTGCATCTCAAAGAGCAGGAAAAGGCAACAGCATCACAAAATGGTGTCAGTGTGCCTCTTCTCATCAGCCCCCCATCAATGGGGGGAAGGCACCTGCACCAGCCCCTTTCAGTCGCAGAGAAACAGTCCTTGCACCTCTCCTGTGTTCAGAACAGATGGGAGGGTGAGTGTCCAATCCTGGCATCTAATAAAATTTGGGCATGCTGAAGAGATTTGTGTTTAACGTAGGAGAGGTTGAGTACGAGTAGAACCAACTGCGTCCCATGTTCTGGATCTTTTTATTTATTTATAAATCTTTTTTGTTGAGTTATACATTACAAATTTAAATTCAGACATTAAACATCACCATCATTTAGGATTCCCTGAATCCTTTGACTCCCCTCCACCCTTCCATGGTTACCATTTTCAATCTTTTCCCACTGCTTCACATATTTTCTCTATTTTTCTAAAATAGTAGCTTTACCTTAGCTTTTCATACATTACAAGCATTACTTGGATCCTGCCAAAGTTTTTTGTTGTTTGCAGTGTTCTCTTAGGTATATTGTAAATTTTCCCCATTCCTCTCTTCCTGGTTTCTGATTTTCGTGGTCAGTTTCGCCATTTTGGCGTAGTCCACCATCTTCATCAGCCATTTGTCTCTGGTCGGGACTTTATCTTCTTCCCATCTCCCATGTTCTGGATCTTTGAGGGAGTATTTACTCATTGCAAACTCTTGCAGCTGAATGTTTTCTGGACCTTGGGAGCAGAGGACAGTCCCAGGTTCTGCTCTTCCTCCTCATGTCTCTAATCTCCCTCTCCAGCTTTCTTAGCACAGCAAGTGTGGAAGGCAGGCCTGACACTGACACCCCCTGAGGAGAACCTGCCGGCTCCTCTGGCTCGGGATGCCCTGCAGATCCAGGAGCAGTCTGAGCGGCTGGCGCAGGAGCTGAGGGAGGTGAGCCACAACCGCGAGAAGCTGGTTGGTCGGCTGCAGGAGCTGCGGGAGCACATTCAGGTGCTGCAGGAGGGACAGCGTTTCACTGGCCAACTGGTAAGTGAGTTCCGCCCCTTCCGCTTCCTGCTCCATCAAGACTCTCTGCTGCGCTTGGAGGAGAAAGGGATGCAACTGCAGTCGATTGGCTGAAAGTTAGATTAGGCTTGCTGAAATTGTACATTGCTTCCCATAGTGGGGGGAAAAACTTAAAGCAATTTGCAGCAAGAATGAAATGCAATAACGGGAAAGAGATCCTTGAGGCAATATGGAATAAAAATATGCTAAAAAGAAAATAATTCATTTCCCCCCCCAAAAAGGGTGTCATGTTTCACAGTGACAGCTACTACTACTACAGTGGTACCTCGGGTTAAGTACTTAATTCGTTCCAGAGGTCCATTCTTAACCTGAAACTGTTCCTAACCTGAAGTACCACTTTAGCTAATGGGGCCTCCCACTGCTGCTGCGCCGCTACTGCCTGATTTCTGTTCTCATCCTGAAGCAAAGTTCTTAACCCGAGGTACTATTTCTGGGTCAGCGGAGTCTGTAACCTGAAGCGTATGTAACCTGAAGCGTATGTAACCCGAGGTACCACTGTACTAATAATAATAGGCATAGAGCATCAAGCCCGCTGGTGATTTTCTTCTTTGCTGTTCTCCTAATGCTTTAAAACTACTTGAATATTATTTGACAATATCTGAGTGGCCTGTTGCTCAAAAAAACACAAACTGACCTGGCAGTGCCTGGCACTCTCTACTCCCTCCCTCCCTGGGCTCTGTCACTTAAAGCAGTTTCTGGTAGAGCAAATGAGCTTGACTGAAGAGAAAAACTACTTTACATGATGGAGCACAGCCCGGTTAGGAGGGGAGAGCTTCACCTTGCCTGCATGTTTTTATTTTTTTTGTTAAAAAATCACCTTGACTCCTCCACCTGTGCTTTTTTTTTTTTTTTTACTTGAATGAGCAAATACATGAAGAACAACTCTGGCTGTCCCTGTTGCATTTAACTTGACCCTGGATTTTATTACTGCAGCCTATCAAATTTAAGAATATTACGATGTTGAACACTGAAGGTGGTCCTGGGACATCTGAGAGGGAGCTCACGAGTCCTGGGATGGTAGCAGGCCCTTCTCTCACAGGCTGTTTTCCCACCAGCAGGTGCCATTAGCATCACCAGCTCGCCCACGAACCTTCTCTGACAGAGAACCTTTGCTTGACCCATCCATGGCACAGCGGCTTGACCTCAAAGTAAAGTGAGTTGTGAGGGGGCGGGCAGGTCATTCAGGTTGACAGGGTAACCCTTCTGTATGAGAGATGAAGCTTGTCAAGTAAACCAAAGCCATTGTTCCTGAAGTGAGAGCTGATGTAGCCTAATGGTTAAGAACATGAGGCAGGACATGCTCAGTTCAATTTTAAAAAAATTAAAATGTCAGCGTCACAAACTGTATGTGGCCTTGCATAAGCCACTATTTAACTACTAATAATGACCCCAATATTATTAATAATTGAATAATGTTCAGTAATAACCACAGTATTATAATTGTGTAATAGTCAATAATGATAATCACAGTGGGCAGTTCTGCTAGGGAAAGCTCTTCAGGAATTTCCCATACCTGTCCTCTCCCTCAGTGCCCCTTAAAGCTGCTCCTGAAGGTTGAGGGGAAACCCCACAACAGCTTTAGGAGGCACACAGGGCGTGTGCAAGGAGAGGAGAAGGGGGAGGTGTTCCATTGCACAGTCTAAAGTGCCTTGCGCTAGCAAAACTGTTCAGTTGGACCATCCAGTATTAAAAGTAACCAAAATCCAGAATGAAATTTTTGTCAGCAGGGAGTAAAACAGCATGGAAAGTATGACAAGATTTCAGGAGGGCATTCTGTAACTGGAGTGCCACCACTGAGAAGGCCCTTTCCTCACGTGATGGGGGCATCTGAAGAAGGTCATCTGAAATTGACCTTGGTTACCTAAGGCGAATGCTCATCTAGCTTCTAGGGTTGTTACAGGGATTACTATGATAATGTTTATGAGGGCTTGTTATGTTGCCACAGGGCACTGTGTGCTCAGCCTCATGTGTGCAGTTTCAGTGTGCATTTTGTATGCTCTCCCCTTTGCTCTCAAGCTTTATCGCAGGCGTGATCCACCCATGGCGGGTGAATGTGTTTGAACGGCTGCTGTGGCGCGCATGCCGTGGCTACCTTGTGGCCAACTTCACTGAGATGCCGGAGCCCATGGAAAACCCAGCCACGGTGAGACAAAATGAAGAAAATGGGTGGGTGAGGTGTAAGATGGCTGCCTGTGAGGGGTGGCAGGCAATGTAGGGGGAGGGGTGAGATTCAAGGCCTGAGTTTGGGTGGAGCAGGGTGTGGCACAGCTTGGGAGGCTGCAAGTACACTCTGTCATGTGGCTTAGCCTGAAGGCCCAAATGGTCCTTCTCCTGCTCCTCTCAAGTGCAGAGGTTTCTGAGCAACCTGTCCCTTCATGTGTAGGGCGAGAGCGTCACCTGGGTCATCTTTCTCATCTCCTTCTGGGGGGAACAGATTGGGCAGAAAATCCGCAAGATTGCTGACTGGTGAGTGCTGTGGGTGGTGCACGTTCCTTCTGATGTCTATTGATACTGAATAACACCTCTCATCCACCTGCCTTGGTCTCCTTCTGCTCGCTGTTTATAATTTTCCTTCCCTGGTGCCATAACATCCCAAAGGTCCAACAAATCACAGGCCCTGCAATGTTTCACCCTTTCCCTCTGTTTGACACATGACATGCCTTTTTACCTCCTCAAGAGGCCTGCACACACAGGCCCTCCAAATCAATTCCTGTGATATGTGCCTTGCATTTAAATTTATTTATTTGGTTTTTCAGATTAAGATTTTACAGTCACATACAGTGGTGCCTCGCAAGACTGAAAACCCGCTAGACGAAAGGGTTTTCCGTTTGCGATGCGCTTTGCAAGACGAATTTCCCTATGGGCTTGCTTCGCAAGACGAAAACGTCTTGCGAGTCTCGCCATTTCCCCCCCGCTTCCCCCCCTTTTTCTAAGCCGCTAAGCCGCTAATAGCCTTTTAGCAGCTAAGCCTTTAATAGCCGCTAAACCGCTAATAGCGCTAATCCGCTTAGCCGCTAATAGGGTTGCTTCGCAAGATGAAAAAACCGCTAGACGAAGAGAATCGCGGAACGGATTCTTTTCGTCTTGCGAGGCACCACTGTATCCAACATACAATATAAGAACAAGATTCCAATGAATCTCTTGGACTTCCCTCCTCCCCTTTGTGAGTCCTATTGTTAATCATTTCCTCCTGCATCTTTTATAATAATCCAAATCTTTTACGTCTCCATTGTGTCCAAAATTCACCATTAAACTACAAGTGATATTCCAATCCTACTAACAATTTTAACTGTTTACAATGGTCTTTAAGATAAGTTATAAATTTTCCTCTGTGCCTTGTTCCAGTGGTGTCTGACAGACCATGAGGCTGAGGAGAAAGTCAAACACAGGCTATATTCCTTATGCCCTAGGACAGCTCTGCCTATCTTCACACACTGGCCAAGCTACACACCATCTTTCTTTTCTTTTCAAATAATTTTTATTTGATTTTACAATGCAAAATTATAAAAAAGAAATTCAAATATATATCCATATGCCCACCATCTTTCAACAAATTGCTCCCTCTGCTCCTCTGTGTTGCCTCCCGCCACCTCCACCCACCAGTATGTGTGCATGTGCCTGTGTGTATTCACTCTCTGTTGTGTCCCTCCAAAGCTTTCACTGCCACCTGTATCCTTACGCCGACAAGGAGGCGGAGCGCTTGGAGACACTGTATAAACTGCGCACTCAGATTGAAGATCTGACCACGGTAAGGTGATAAGGGCTGCTTAGGGTAGTACACAGGGCGGGCTTGAAATCCGGGAAATACTGTCAGAGAGCTTTGGAGAGGATCCATAGTTTCCAGTTCTGGGGCAGGAAAGGAAATTGCATGGGTGCAGTGGTGAGAGTATACCTCTGCAGATGATTAATTTCTTCTCCAGATTTTAAACAGGGGAGGGGGGTTGGTGTTTGTTAATTGGTTTGCAACCGTTGTTGTCATTGTATTTGCTAGTTTCTATATACAAAAAGAAGTGTCTCACTGTGACTTAGCAGCAAAATACAAAGAGGTGAAATGATTAAAAAAACCCAAAACGGCATACAATTCAAAATCCTTAAAATGCTCATCCAGCCATGCAATAAATAAGGACAAGTCCTACCCCAAACCACTAAAAGATGAGCATCACAGGGTTTAATTAAGGCCTCGTCATTTAAAACAGGATCACACCACTTTGAACAGACATGGCTTCCCCTAAAGAATATTGGGAACTGGAGGTTAAGGGCACTTAAACCGCTCAGAGTTGTAATTCTGTGAGTTTAACAGTCAAGCCCTCTTCCCAGGAAATTCTGGGAACTGCCGCTCTGTGAGGGGAGTAGGGTTCTCCTAACAGCTCTAAGCACCCTAAACAAACTACAGTTCCCAGGATTCTTTGGCAGAAGCCATGACTGTTTAAATTTGTATTGCATTGCTTTAAATGTATAGTGCAGATGGGGCCTTGAACGTACTTTCCTCCTACCCCAGATCCTAATTTCTCTGGGCAGGAAAGGCCAGTATATTGGTTCAAGTGCTCCTCCCCACAATGGTTTTCTCCACTGCATTCATGCAGAGTGTCACATTTCAAAGCTGCAACCACACTCCGTACTTCCTGTGGCCCCGTGTGCAGCCGCATTTCCAGACTAGTAGCTCTAAGCAGCACATTCCATTGCTTAACTGTGATTCCTTAAAAAAGGAAGTACTTTCCCTCCTAAATCCCCCTTTTTGCTCCAAGTCTTCCACCGTCTCCCTCAGTTCTGCTTCATACTCCTTATGAGAAAACAGGTCTTGGGCCAGACGGAGCAATACCTGGACCAGCTGCTGCAAAAGGTGCTCTTGGAACTGCCTGCTTGGCAAGTGCGGATACAGAAGATGAAGGCCATCTACTTCATCCTCAACCAGTGCAGCTTCAACATCACCGACAAGTGCCTCATCGGGGAAGTCTGGTGCCCTGTCCGCGACCTTCCTGCTGTGCAGCAGGCTCTGCGTGAGGGATCGGTATGTACTGCAGAATATTGGCTCCCTTCTGCTTCTCCTTCGATGTATCTTCCATTTCATGTCCCCCTCTCCCTTCTTTTTGTACGCTTCCCTGTTTGCACAAGTAAAGAGCAAAATATTTTGAGTCAGGAGTTGATACATGTGCTTTGTCCTCCCCACTCCCCGTGGGTTGGGCCAAAGGAAGGTAAATAGGGCTCCCAGCAGGGCAAGGGCCAAGAGATTTTGCTGCCTGATGCGAAGGACAAGATGGTACTCTCTCCCCATTCCATATACAAAAGTCCACCTTGCTTCAACACTGGTTTGAAGAGCTTGGATTTGATATCCCACTTTATCACTACCCTAAGGAGTCTCAAAGCGGCTAACAATCTCCTTTCCCTTTCTCCCCCACAACAAACACACTGTGCGGTGAGTGGGGCTGAGAGACTTCAGAGAAGTGTGACTAGCCCAAGGTCACCCAGCAGCTGCAGGTGGAGGAGCGGGGAATCGAACCCGGTTCACCAGATTACGAGTCCACCGCTCTGAACCACTACATCACAGTGTCCTCCACTGCGCCTGAGGGCAGCAGGCTAGCTTAGGGAGCACAGGACCAGGGTAGCTTCTGGGGCTCTGTGGGAACAGTAGGGTGGAGCTGCCATTGCTTTCTTGCTCTCTAGGATTTTATGCCTGAGGCTGCTACCTTGGCTTTCCTAATGGTAGGGCCAGCTCTGGGCAATACAGTTGTACCTTGGAAGCCAAACGCCTTGGCACTCGTACGTTTTGGCTCCCAAACGCTGCAAACCCGGAAGTGAATGTTGTGGTTTGCAAATGTTCTTTGGAACCCGAACATCCGGCACGGCTTCCGATTGGCTGCAGGAGCTTCCTGCAGCCGATCGGAAACCACATCTTGGTTTCTGAACGTTTTGGAAGTCAAAAGGACTTCCAGAATGGATTCCGTTTGACTTCCGAAGTACAACTGTACATTGGTAATATATTGAGACAAATTTAGGATAAGGCAATGTTCTTCTCCCTCTCCCTCCCTTTCTCTCCCTTTCCCCATCCCCCACTAGCCAGGACCACACCCAGCTGCATGAATTCCTCTCTCCTTTTTTAGAGCTCCTGGGCAAACCATTGTACTTGATGCTCCTGAACTGCCCAGGTTAACCCTCTCCTCCCCTTACAGCACCGCAGCGGTTCTGGGGTGGAGTGCTTTGTTCATCAGATTCCCTGCACTGAGAGCCCCCCAACCCTCATTCGCACCAACAAGTTCACTGCCGGCTTCCAGAGCATTGTTGACGCCTACGGGGTATCCAGCTATCAGGAGGTGAACCCAGGTGAGCAGATTTGCCACATCCTGCTCTTGACCTTGCAAGGGGCATGCACAGTTGCTCAGTGGAACATCCTCTTTTCGGCGAAAGAGGGAGGGCGCCAGGGCATTGCGCACTGACAGTGCGCCAGGCAGTGCGCCAGGGCATTGCGCACTGACATTTGAGAAATTGCTCCCAATAAAGGAAGGCTGTGTGTTTTCTGGGCTTTCTGGCTATGGGACAGAGAGAAGAAGGAAGAAAACTAGAATGGGTCTTGTGGGTGGAATTGTCTTCACAGTTGGCCAGGAGTGGAGAGTTTGTCCCACCCCCCCGATGCCACTGAACTACAGTTCCTATCAACCCTGACCAGTGGCCATGCTGGCTGGGACTGATGGGAGTTGGAGTCCAACGACGTCTTGAGTTGCACAGGTTCCTCACCCCTGCTGTAAGTCAAGCACAGCAGGGCGAGAGTGGATTATACATTTTTATACCCTACTTGATTAATATCATTAGATTAGATGCCTTGCAGTTCAAAGAAAGGAGAGGTTTTTGATTTGGGGCTAGGTTCGGTGAAATGGCAGTTGACTCCGTGGTTTTCTTGTGGGGGTTGCAAAGGGGGGTGTTTGCTTGGACTTCCTATCTGACGCTAGACCTGCTTTGCAGCTCCCTATACCATCATCACCTTCCCTTTCCTGTTCGCTGTCATGTTTGGGGATGTTGGCCATGGGCTGCTGATGTTCCTCTTTGCCCTTTGGATGGTGCTGGCTGAGAACCGCCCCAGCATGAAGAAGGTGCAGAATGAGGTGAGGCCCAGATTGTGGAAGAGGCAGCGGGTGGGAGGGGATATGCTTTGGGTGGATGGAAAAGGATCACATGCTTTCCGCAATACACCTCGGGATATGTTTTTATTTTATTTGGTACCTTTATCTCCCACTTCTTCTCCAAGGAGCTGAGAGCAGCATGTATGGTTCTCCCCAGTTCTGTTTCTCCAGAAAAAGAGGTGCCAGAACTCACCATGAACACCTCCCTTGTTCTCTTATAGTGGCAATGGCGCTTACCTGAGAGGTGCCGGAACTGAGTTCTGGCTGGGGGAAAAGCCCTGGTTCTCCTTCGCCCCCATTTTACCCTTGCCAGCAACCCTGTGAGGTAGACTTAGAGATAGCGACAGGCCCAAGGTCACCCAGTGAGATTCATGACCAGGTGGGGATTTGAACCTGGGTCTAATCCAGGTTCTGATCAGTCACACTAACCACACCAATTCTCAGAGATTTACCATCTTGCCAAGCATACCCTTGTCTTCCTGCCCCCAGATCTGGCAGATGTTCTTTGAGGGCCGCTACCTCATCCTCCTGATGGGCGCCTTCTCTATCTACACTGGCTTCATCTACAACGAGTGCTTCAGCAAGGCCACCAACATCTTCCCCTCTGCCTGGAGCATCGCTACCATGGCCAACCAATCAAATTGGAGGTACTGACTAGCCCATGACCCAAAGCAATGCTGGCGGCCTCTTCTTTCATGACGGCTGCATCATTCTCATGTGCTGAAGCAATTCCTTCTCCTTACAGCGAGGACTTTTTAGCTGGAAACCCTGTTCTTGCTCTGAACCCCAACATTACGGGAGTTTTCAAAGGTCCCTACCCTTTTGGGATAGATCCGGTAAGTACTGCAAGAGCACACAAGAGCTGTTTCTCAGCTTTCCCCAGGCTGGTGCCCTTCATGGGTTGCAGTGCCCATGAGGGCACCAGATTGTGTGGGGCTGCTTTAACTGATTTAACAGTGTGAGACCCCTGGTAATTGCTGTTTGATGTGTGCAGGTCAGATAAGGGTGTGCTGTGGGGTGTTAGGGGAGGGGCAGTGTCTCTGGTGGGGGACACATCAAGTAGTTCATCCACCATTGATCCCCACCCTGCACTCAGCTCTCACCTGTGGTGCCTAGAAGCTGTTGACATGTGACAGTGGCCACACCCCGGGTAATGGCTGAACCACATGAGGGTAGCCAGTGAGTCTCAAACCCTCAGTGGGCTAGGGACTTTTTTGTCCCCTGCATGCGAATCCAGAAAATTGAGCAGATGAGACCAATAGCATAAGGAAGACTGTTTCTGCACATGCTGTAGAGGGTAATGAGGGGCAGATCGGGCTTATCAACCTGGGAAGGTAGCCCATCTAGGAGACGGAAAGCTGATCCTTAACCACCGTTGCCTTGTGGGATATCTTCAGGAGAAGAAAAGGCTAAGAAGTAAACCCTACACAAATCCAGAGTGGAGTCCCTAAGGCGGTTGGATGGTGTCTTATACATCTCCTTCTGGCAACTCCTGCAGCCAAGCTGGTGCCAAACGTATTGCTCTGCTTTCCTTTGGAGCACATCGGTGAGACTGAGAGGGGGTCTTGTTGTCTGGGCAACAACATCCTCATCCCCTCTTCTATAAGAGGTTCACACTGTGTATTGAGTGCAGCCTTCTGCAACCTGGTGTAATTTTGGACTACAATTCCCATCTGCCCTTAGCCAGCATGTCCAGTGATCAGGGCTGATGGGACTTGTAGTCCAAAATATCTGGAGGGTACCAGGTTGGGGGAGGCTGGCTTATCATGTCTGTGTGTTCTTGATTCTTCCCTTCCACGCCTGTGACTCAGATCTGGAGCCTGGCCATCAACCACCTCACCTTCTTGAACTCCTTCAAGATGAAGATGTCTGTGATCCTGGGCATTGTGCACATGAGCTTTGGGGTCTGCCTTGGCATCTTCAACTACATGTAAGTACTGGGCTGCTCCTCCACCTGCAGCTGCTCCTGCGAGGGACGCGAAGGACCCCTATCTCTGGCGCCATTTCACCCATTGATTCCTGCCAAAGGAATCCTGTCTTGCTTTCAGCCAACAGATAGGAATTCAAAAAGGGGATTAGATAAATTCATGGAAAATAAAACTACCAGTGGCTACTAGCCATGATGACTGTATGCTACGTCCATTGCTGGAAGTGGGAAGCCTTTGTATATGTAGTTCCTTGAGTGTCCCTAAGCGTGCAAAGGGCTGTTGCACTTGGCTCCTGCGTGTGGTCTTCCCATAGGCATCTGGATAGTAACTCTGCAAGCAGGATGATGCACTGCATGGACCTCTGGCCTGACCCAGCAGGGATCTTCTTATGATCCTGACACATTTATTCTCACACTCCCTCTGTTGTTTGCTCGTTTCCTTTTTACAGCCACTTCAAGAACTACTACAAGATTCTCCTGGTTTTCGTTCCGGAGATCATCTTCCTGCTGGGACTCTTCGGCTACCTTGTAATCCTGATCTTTTACAAATGGCTGGCGTATGACGTCTCCGATTCCCAGTCTGCGCCCAGCATCCTCATCCACTTCATTAACATGTTCATGTTCTCAAACGATGCCGATAACGTTCCACTCTTTAACCACCAGGTAACATCTTGTGGCGCTGTGCTTTATCTGTTGGATGTCTAACAGGTGTTGACATCCAGCTCCTTGGGCGTTGCTTCCCCTGCTCCTCTCCCCATCCTGCTTTGGGGAGGGAAATGTTCAGGACTTTTAAGGCTGGCTGAGACAGAGCAAATCCAATAACCAAGGGGCGGGGAATCTTTTTCAGGCTGGGAGACACATCTTCTGGGCATGTCAGTGATGGGAGGGGCTAGAGGAAAATTGGGCTGAGTAGCCTCCCGTTTGATGAAATGCTGCTGAATCTGAGAACTGTCTTAGTTGAAATATGCTGTGTTCTAATATGAAGGTTCATTGACCTGGGGTGCTTGATCTCTGATGGGGGCTTCACAAAGGCAAGTCATCACTTGATGTAGCCACTGAATGATGAACATGCATGTGTGAATCAGCCCTATGCAAGGAGGCACAGACCCACAAGGTCACCAGCCAGTTGGGCTTGGGGGGGGGTAATTCCTTTTTGGCTTTGAACACAGTGATCGGTTGCAAACTTGAACACAAAAACAAAACCCAACTGCTGAGGGCTCCCTGAAAATGTCATTTACCTGTCTCCTGAAAATTTCCGCTGTGTTCAAAATCCCAAGTCCATTTTATGTCTGAAGGCTTTCTGTGATTTTTTTTATTGCATTTGCTGTACTTTGAAGTTGTTGTTTGCCTGCACAAGCAACCTAAAGTTGCATGGAGTAGTCCAAATATTACAAGGGACTGCATTCTTGAGCTTTTCTGAGCAGTGCCTCATTGAAATACATAGTGCTAGGCACGTCATCTTGGGTGGGTGGGGAGTTGGGCGCCTTGGGACAAATTACCAGGTTTGTTTCCTTTGTTTCCAGCTGACAAGGCACTTAGGTGTCACGTTTTGGTTTGCTCAGTTGTAATTTTATTGGCAAGACTGCATCATAGCAGGGCTGAAGACTGATTGGGAAGCAGGAAAGCCCTATAGGTTGGGATCTGAGGCAGAACAGGGAGAGGAGATGGTGGGAGAAATGGACACCATAGGCACATCCCTTTTCCGAGTGGCCCGAGTCCCAGTTTTTAAGACTGGGCCTGCAATCAGTGTTTTCCTTTCTGCCCAGTGAGATCAGGCGTGGTCTGTGGCTTTGTACTGTGGCTGATTATGATGATGTTTCTGTGTGGTTATTTAATGATTTGTTGCAATTGACCGAAGTACTTTCTTGCTGATGTCTTGATATCTCATAATACTATATCCAAAATGGATTCCTGAATTTTGCTGGGTTTCTGTTTCTGTTCTATTTTGAACTGTCCAATATTTTGAATTGTTCAAGGTGACAGTGTGGTTTCGGTGTGATCCCCCCCCCCATTTCTGTGGGTTGCAAACTACCTTAAATGCACTAATATAGAAAGGTGCCATATCAGTTTAAAAAACTAAATAAAAATGTACTTGGCTCGCTCCCAGCCTGCCTTTCTTCTGGCTGTTCCGACTTGCAAAATCTTTCTCTTTCACTCCAGGCCCTGGTGCAGACAGTGTTGGTGGTGGTAGCCCTGGCCTGTGTGCCTATCCTGCTGCTGGGAACCCCCTTGTACCTCTGGAGCCAGCACCGACAGAAGGCCTCTTTGTCCAGGGTAAGACCCCTCTGTATGACTGGGCCTGGGGCTGCTGTCCACCCCTGCCTTTCTATATCCCAGCTCCCTTGTTGGGTCAGGGTCTGTGCAGATATGCATTGAGGTCCTGGTACCATCAGGAGCGGGGCACTAAAGCTCAAGGACTGAGTCTGAGGATGATCTCAGATGGACACCTAGATGCCACAAGTGAAGCTGTGTGTCATGGGAAGGATTCTGTGGAGGAACAGTGTCACTTTTAACCATGTGGGTTCAGGATTGTGATGCTTGAAGCCCTTCTGTGTGCAAGGCCGTCCATCACTGACCAATGTCTTTCTGGGATGCTTGCAGCACAATCCCTCCAGCGCAGAAGAGCGCCAGCCTCTGCTAAACTCTCAAGAGCCAAGCAGATCTGTGAATGTTGCTGAGGACGATGTGGATTGTGCCAAATCCAAACAGGAGTTGGAGGTAACTTTCTGTCCGGGAGGTCAGGATTCTGGGACGTGACTCCCATTTTCACTACTTAAGTAAATTATGCAGAAGTTGCCTGCTGAATGCGAGTGGGGTTTTTTTTTGTTTCTGTGTAAATTTAGAATCATTTTGTAAAAAAAAAAAAAAAAGGCATGGGGATAAAAGGAAAGTTTGAAATGGGTGGAGTAAGGGAGGCAATAAACACAGAAGACTGGGGGCTGGCGCTGTTTCAGTTGCTAAAAAAAGAGAGGTACATGGGCCTGGAAGCTACACCTTCTGACCTGAAAGGTTGGAGTGAGTTGGTGGTGAAGCAAATACACTCTTCATATGTTCAAGAGCCCCATCCCCATTTCTGATTCATCCACACCTTCAAAGACCGACCCTAGAAGAAAAAAGATCCCAAGGGATGAACAATAAATCCAGCTGGGGTGGCAAATGGAAGCAGTTAGAAAAGGCCACGTTCAGAAGCAGTTAGGCTTGTTCTTCCTAAGAACAAGGGCTTGAAGTCCTCAAATATTGTGCCTTTGCAGGGGCTAGTCATGATAGCACCTTCTTAAGACCTCTGTTGTTGAGAGAGGCTACACAGGTGAATTATTGGAGCTTGCCTGGATGAGGTTAGAGGGGATGCCCTCTAAGAGCAACCTGCATGGACTCTGCTCAGAACCTCAGGCCCTTTCTTTGCTGCTGTTCAGGGTATTAAAAAAAACCTAAACTTGGCTAAAAACCTCCAATTTGTGGTATCTCAGATTACCATCATATGGAAATAATGTTGAGCCTAGCAGCGCTTCACTGGAATAAAAGGCTAGGGTCTCCCACGACTCTCTTTGCAGGCTCTTTGAGTGTGCAGAAAAGGCACTGGTTGCTGTTTTTAAAAATAAAAACAAGCTACCAAGAAAAATGCTCAGAATCTGGCTTGGGAGTCTGGTTTTCCTTAGGAACATGTCTAGGGTGAAAAGGCTCTTCTCGTTTGCAGAAAGTTCTTAAATAGAGTCCACATATGCTCTCCACCAAGTCCTTAGCCTTAGATTAGGGCTGAAGAACCTGTTGCCCTCCAGATGCTGCTGAACTACAGTTCCCATCATCCTTTGGGAACTATTGGCTGTGCTGCCTGAGGGCTGATGGGACCTGGACTCTGGAAGCAGCTCATGGAGGAGTGGGCTTTCATTTGAGTCCCTATGCTGGTTCAGAGTATTAGACTAATCCATGGGTAGGCAAACTAAGGCCTGGGGGCCGGATCCGGCCCAATTGCCTTTTAAATCCGGCCCACGGACAGTCCAGGAATCAGTGTGTTTTTTCATGAGTAGAATGTGTGCTTTTATTTAAAATGCATCTCTGGGTTATTTGTGGGGCATAGAAATTCGTTCATTCTTTCCCCCCCCCAAAAAAAATATAGTCCAGCTCCCCACAAGGTCTGAGGGATGGTGGACCGGCCCCCTGCTGAAAAAGTTTGCTGACCCCTGGACTAATCCTTGCCACCCCACTGATTCTTGCCTTTCCCTCCTTCAGTTTGACTTCTCCGACGTGTTCATGCATCAGGCAATCCACACCATCGAGTACTGCCTGGGCTGCATCTCGAACACAGCCTCCTACCTGCGGCTCTGGGCTCTCAGCTTGGCCCACGCACGTGAGTTTCAGGGGCTGGGAGAGGAATGGGCAGAAAGCAGGAAGCACGGCAAGCGATTTGGCCACATAGACCTGGGGGAGGACGGTGGGCAAGATGTTTTTTTGGAGACCTCACTACATGATATAGGCATCAGGCCCCATTCCTGCATTGTTGGAAGCTCCCTTGCAGCCACTTCTAAAAGTGTTTGAGGGACTCTCTCTGCCCCAGCATGTTTGTGATGTGGTTTAGATTTTTTTATGGCAATATCTTAGTCTTCAGACTGGAGCTAGCAATGTGTATTGTGGGGTGGGATTGTGGGGTGATTGCATTTGTTAGCTGCCTTGAGTGTCTTTTGAACATTAGGTGGGATATGTGTTTTTAAAATAAAGAAATGCATTTTTGACTGGTGGATGTATTCAAGGCCTATAGGGAACAGGAAGTGTGTGTGTGTGTGTGTGTGTGTGTGTGTGTTAGCGGTTGGGGCTTTACATCAGTACTAAGGGTGTAATTCAGTGATTGTTCTGTCAGCGCAAGCATTTCTGCTTGTCAGATGGAACAATCTTCTTTTTCCAAGCCCCCAAAGCTGCTTTTGGGGCTGGGGGAAACCCCATAGCACTAGCAGGACTCATTGTACTGGTTCCCATTAGTACAGCTCCTCAGTTGGATCCAGCCTTGGGTGGTCTGTAAGGGAGGGGAAAGGCTGTTTGGCTGCTCTACTGCTCCCTGACAAGTCCTGCACCCATCCTTCTCCACAGAGCTCTCAGAGGTCCTGTGGACCATGGTGATGAGGAACGGCCTCCACTTTACGGGCTACAAAGGTGGGGTCCTCCTCGTCCCGGTTTTTGCCTTCTTTGCGGTACTGACTGTGGCAATCCTGCTGGTGATGGAGGGGCTGTCGGCTTTCCTGCATGCCCTGCGTCTGCACTGGTGAGAGACACACATGTATATCCCCGCTTTCTGTCAGTGAATCCTGTGCGAGAGCCGATCTCTCACTTGGCTTGCTGCCCTGGGCTCTTTGGGGTGGGAATGCGGGAGATAAATCCAGTCAATCAATAAGACTGCCAGGTGCTTCCACTCTGAGCACTGAGACCCAGGTGGGGTTAGGGGTGTGGGTGATAGAGGACTCTCCTCCCCACGAGGTCAGGAAAATTGTTCTGTATGAGAGGGAGGGACCTGGAATGGCAGAGTTTATTTCTCCTTCCCCCACCCAACTGTGAATCAGGCCGGGACCTGCCTGTTTCAGGGATTGTGTTACTACTGGGATTAGTGTTGCAAGCCGAGAGCAGTGCTTCCGGATCTCGAATTGACCACTCTTGTGCTGTTGTTTTTCAGGGTGGAATTCCAGAACAAATTCTACACAGGCTCTGGGTACCGGTTCACCCCGTTCACCTTCACTACAGACATCTGGGACTAAGAGAGAAAGGACTTCTTTCTTCCCAGAGAGCAGATGTACTGTGTGCCCTCATGAGCCAATTGGCTTATGCTGTGTTTTTTTTTTACATGAGCAACTGTCTCTTGCTTCCTTCTTTCTACCACTTGTGCCTTGTGTCTGACCGGAAGGTGTGGCAGAACTTCTTTAACTCCCCTGACACGCACCTTTCTTGGGGAAGGAACTACCTGCTCTGTCCCCATCTGTCTGCTACAATTAAAGTGAGGTCCTTCGCTGCCTCACTGCCAGGATATCAGTATTTAGGATGGAGTTCTGGAATTCAGGGTTTATCAAGCCACGTTCCTTCCAGTTCTCGATCCTTATGACTTGCAGCTGAACCAGCCTGCCTTGTGCATATCTCTATAGCCGTTAAGAGTTGCTTCTGGGAAAGAATGGGAAGTGGCCTTAAGGAACACCAGAATATGGATACCACTCACTATATGGGTGTTTTTACAGGTCTACTAGGTGGCACTATCTCTCTTCTTGCTTCATCCCTGTTTGCTGGGGTGCAGCCTTTCTGATGCACATCAGAGGACAAGAGGCCCGACCCCAGGCACTTGGGGCTTCTGCTTTTTCTAAATTTACATTCTGTTGCAGTTGGTGTTGTCATCCAGGTCTGAGACTCTCTTGTGTCCCTGATGGAGAGCCTGGAGTTGACATTGCATCAGCCAATGCATGATGTGGGGCTGCACATTAGAGCCAAGCCCTCGGTGCATGCGTGTTTTTGAAAGGACTGTCTACCTGTGCTAGCAAGCTAGCTGATAACGCTGGGAGCTGATGTGGCTTGCAATGCCTGTCTTTTCCTCATTCATGCTCTGTTTTACCAACTGCTAGCAACATCCACCAACAATTGGGGACAACAGCTCTGTACAGGTGGAAAATGGAGACTTAAGTTGCCAAGGGCAAGAGAGGGGCTCCTGCCCTGGATTCAGGGGCGCCTACTATAGGGGGCTCTGAGTTTCTGAGCACCCACAACAATTTTTTTTGTTGGGATCCACACTGCAGGGCCCCCCACGCAACTTCTGAGGTCTCACGAGGAAGTCTCATGAGACCCTGGAACCTGACTTCCAGTGCCACCGGAAGTCACTTTCTGAGGCCAGGGGGCGCGTGTGACATCGTGATGTCATGCCCCATGTGACATCATGATGTCACAAGCACTGGGCACCCATAACCTGGGGCCCAAGTTGGCTCCCCTGCCTGGATTGCAGAACAAACTTCCTTCATACTGAAGGCACAGCATGTCATGGGCAGGACTCAAGACTCAGGCTGCCATTTAAGAGAAAGACAATGCTTGTGAGCAGGCTGCTGAGAATTCTGTGCTTTAAAAGCCCTCATAAACTCTTTGTCGCCGTAGCTACCAAATCCCACAATAAAGACAAGATTCTTAACCTTCCCTGCATTTTTATATTTTCCTCTGTGTTTATTTTTGATGCAAAGCTGGTTTAGGATTTCTGATTTGTAGAATTGGGTTTTCAGCCATTTTTGGGGGGTTTTGGAATTGGGGGATGAATTGCTTTACAACGAGCTGAGGAGCAGAAGCAGTTAGGAAATGGCCGGTATCTCAGCCAAGTATGTTTCTTACACCTCACCAAGCTTCAGCTTGGACTCTGCACCCCTCTCAAAGGAGACGGATACTGTACCTAACTTCTGTTAACTGTTTAATTGTCCATATACTAGGGGACAACAAGTTAGAAATTACGTTTGCCTCGGGTGGGGAAGAGGGAAGGGTACCAGGGCTTGAAGGTACCATCCACAAAGTGCCCTGGAAGGTAAACAGAGGAATGGACTAGACCTCCTTAGCAGGCCGCCCAGCAATGGATGCTGCATGAGGAGAAGGTGGACCTGAGGCGAGTCCCTGGTTCAGCCTTGGGGTAGGTGTGGGAGGAGAGAGGAGGGAACTGCCTGATCTGTCCACCGGGTCTCTCTTCCTTCACTGTTCATAGTCCCCGGCAGTGTAGATGTTGAGAGCGTGGAAGCTGGTGGCCCGGCTGCTGGGGAGGGCGTAGGGTGTTGCCCGGGAACGGGCTCCCACGTAGATGCTGTGATAGGAGAGGTGCTTGTAGGGCAGGGCCCCTGATGCTTCACTCAAGGGTCGTCGAGCAAGGCACATATCTGGGAGGGTGGCGGGTGTGACCAGGGGTGGGTGCTGCAGCTGGGAGGCTTCTCTGAAGAGGGAAGGAGGGAGGTGATGATTGCTGGCAAACCCTAGAAAAACAGAAGGAGCTTAGAGCTGAATGACTTCCCTGGCCAACCAAAGTCAGTCCCTACACAGCATGACTCACTCCTGGAAATATTTAAGTCTGCCACTTTTCCTGATCCTGCCAACTCGATCCATTCTGTTAATCAGAATGGCTAAGCCGTCAGTGACTGAGAAATTTGCTCCAAACTTCCACCCCTGTGGTTTACCTCCATTCAATCTCACTAAGAGCCCAGAATCTCTGCAGACTATGCCATGGCTTATACTATACCACGGCGACAGCTGAAAAGCTGCTTTTGGGTGGTTGTGGCTCCATATTTGTAGCAATATCGTACGCATACACTAACTGCGTGGTTTGGCTAGGTCATGTGGTTGGTTTCTATACCAGTGGTTCTCTCAGTGCAGATGTGGCACTAGTTTAGAAGATGACCATGGCACCTTGCTGACCAATGTAATTGCTACTCGCATGCTCTACTGACATCTCACAGAGAACTGCATGAATATGACTACACTGCAGTTAGGAAAACAAAAAAACCAAACTGCATATGAAGAAAAGCATATTGAGCAAAATATCCAGAAGATCATACGGTGAGCAAGAGAGATATTATTTGTTTGTTAATAGCATTTTTACACCATCTAATATTTCAGACATCTCCAAGATGTTATGCTACGTATTTTGGTGTTTCTGTATTGTAAACCACCCTGTTATCCTCGGATAAAAGGTGGTATAGAATAAATAAATAAATAAATAGAATTTAAATAAAATAAAAATAAAAGAGATGTCAAAAGATACAAAGAGCACTGAGAAGCTGCTCCCTCGTCACTGGAAGCCCTTACTTTGCAGCATTCCCTCTCATTAGAAATTATTGCATGTATGATTCTTAGCTAATTTTTGCACACATAAGCACCGGAAACTCGAGGGACAGGAGAAAGTTGAGATTATTAGCATCAAACATTTAAATTTGTGCCTGAGAAAAATCTGAACCAAAGTCATGATGGTGACCAAACTCAAGAAGGAGACCCTGCCATCTCTCCATAGCCCCACCATGCCCTGTACCTTCCCATGGCCTGTACCTTCTACATGCAAGGCTCACTTCCCATTTGCTTTTTTCACCTTACCCTTTTCTGTGGTTTCTTGAAGCTGGGCTAAGGGAGCCGCACCCCCATTTCGAGATAAGCAGCCTAATAGTTGTCCTGGTGAGCCGGGCCTAGGCAGAAAAACAAGACGTGCACTTCATTGGTGATGGACTTTGTGGAAATAAAACTCAAATAGGACAGGCAGAGCTATAGAAGTTGTTACTGGGAGCAGTCCCAGACTTGGCTGCTTCTGTTCTCACTGCCATTATCCCTCCAATCTCCTTTTGCTCCACTCGGTAGAGTAGCTGGATGCAAAAGAGGACACGCCTCCTGCACCTTTGCTTAATAGCTCTGCAGAAGAAGGCATTTCAGCCTGTGTAGATTGCTACACATACCAGAATTCCCTCTTCTATGCACACATTAAGGGGCCACAAGCCTTGTTTTCCCTGGCATGTGGCCACCCTAGCTACTCAGGTGGCACACAGATTGTCAACACATACTGGCCGAGAATTTCCAACCCAGCGTTTGTTTCTAAAATGCACATTCTGCCTGTCTTCCCCACTCAAGAGTAATACTTCTCTAAAGGTACAATTTTATATAAACTTACCTGGTAGTAAGCACCATTGTATTCAGTGGTGCTTGCTTTTGAGTAGCCAGGCATAGCAGTTGTGTATAGCTTGCCATAAGTGACCAGCAATGTCATATAAGTGAGTGGGTGGGTGGGCTGGTGGAGGGATGGACCTCTCACTTCCATTGCTGGTCTGCTTGGTTTCCATGCTTCCTGTGGAGGAAGGGAAATCTATCCCTGAGTTCTATTAGCCTGTTTGGTAGAAGACAACTTTGATTTTACAAGCCTGCTTAAAAGGCTTTGGAGGAGCTGGTCTTAGCCATCTAGAGGCTAGTAACTTGTGGGCTTATTTACAAGGCTGATGGGTATAGGATTGCAGCCTGAGAATGGAATTTGCTCTGTTTGCAGCTACATCGCATAAGAGGCTTATCCCTCCACCTGTATTTGAAAAGGCAGCGCCATGTGCGGAGACTTACCAGTCATCTGGCTCACACTCCCGGAACCCTTTTGCGAAGGGGTTGCTAGCAATTTTCAGCTGTGTGATCTGCCGAGAGAGTGAATGAGTTTTCAAGTACACACATTTTCCCTGCCGCTCCCTCTCTTGCTATAGTGAAGCTGTTGCTCTAACTACTGCCTGAGAAAGCAACACCAGCCATGATGTTACTACTGTGGTGCATCCCGGTCTATGTCACGATGCTATGAAACTTAAGCACACTGCTGGGAGCTCTTTGAAAGAAGAGCAGGATACATGTATTTAGCATTCAATCCCAAGACATAGCGTTGAAGCTAAGCAGGTCTGGGTGTGATTAGTACCTGGATGGGAGACGACCTGGGCACTACAAGCATGCCACTTTGGATTCTATGAGGGATATAGGTGGGATGTACAAAAGCGAAATGGATATTTGTACACTGGTTTCTCCATGTACGTTCGCTTTTTATCCTTGCAACAGTCCTGTGATACAGGTTATGTTGGTGACTTAAGGCTACCCAATGAACGCCATGACTGTGTAATTTTACAGATAACGCCTTCTCAGTTCACAGCTATCTCTAAACATTAGGTAAAGGGTAAAGGGACCCCTGACCATTAGGTCCAGTCGTGGCCGACTCTGGGATTGCGGCACTCATCTCGCTTTATTGGCCGAGGGAGCCAGCGTACAGCTTCCGGGTCATGGGGCCAGCATGACTAAGCCACTTCTGGCGAACCAGAGCAGCACACGGAAACGCCATTTACCTTCCCGCTGGAGCAGTACCTATTTATCTACTTGCACTTTGACGTGCTTTTGAACTGCTAGGTTGGCAGGAGCAGGGACCGAGCAACAGGAGCTCACCCTGTCGTGGGGATTCAAACCGCCGACCTTCTGATCGGCAAGTCCTAGGCTCTGTGGTTTAACCCACAGCGCCACCCACATCCTCTCTAAACATTACACCACACTAAACAATTAAAGGCAAACATTGTAGTAATTATTACGGCACCGTGAAAAATGCATTAGGAATGCTGCACAGCTTGGATTGCACAGCAAAAGGTGTCAGTGTATGTATAGATCTGTTTGCCGGCCTCCACCAGCCACACTTAGTCCTGTCCCAATCCTGATTCTCTCCAATAGGCCAGCTCTCCCATGTGATACTGACCAGTGTCACCAGAAGGGTGTGCATGCGTGTTCTCTCACCCGGTGGTTCTGATAGGCTGTCACTGCCATGAACTGAGTCTCCGTGAAGATGAAGGACTTGAAATTCTCCTGGGCGTAGCGCTCGCTATCTGGACGTGGATCTACCACCACCACATGGAAGCGTGGCTGGTACCTGTGCATGGAGTTCAGGATGATCTGTTTGATCAAGACAAAGCGACATTTCAGATGACTGTTCAATACATGGGCTCTCATTTAACAACTCTTGTTTACTCACTCAGGAACATCAAACGACTCCCACACCCCATGCATATTCCACATGCAAATGTATCCCCTGGTGGGGATTAACAAATCCTGAGTGGTTCCCTGGAAAAGACCCTGATGTTGGGAAAGATGGAGGGCACAAGGAGAAGGGGACGACAGAGGACGAGATGGTTGGACAGTGTTCTCGAAGCCACAAACATGAGTCTGACCAAACTGCAGGAGGCAGTGGAAGACAGGAGTGCCTGGTGTGCTCTGGTCCATGGGGTCGCGAAGAGTCGGACACGACTAAATGACTAAACAACAACAAGAGTGGTGCACAGAGTAAGTGGGAAGTCCCATAAATACACTCACACTCTTGCAAGTTGTTTTCATTTTAAGTAGTAGGAACATAGGAAGATGCCTTAAAAGTGAGTCTCTCCAAGCCCTACCTGGAGATGCCAGGGACTGAACTTATAAATACCACCAGGTTACATTTATTATGTTACATACGATGCATATTTTTATGCTCGCTCCCATTTTTCTGAGATAGGAAAACTTTCAGGGAAGCAGTGTTAACCCTGATTTGGTTTCCCTCCCTTCAGGTACAACTAAGTATAGTGCCACCAGGTGACTAAACTATGTGCAAAGACACTGCACAATTAACTTACATGGCCATTGTCATCCATCAAGTTGTTGGTGAGCTTGAGCTTGTCAAAGGAGACAATCTGCCTCATCCACTGGCCTCCCTTGGCAGGTGAGTCAGGGTGGAAGTGAACCCGGCCAGGTGTCGCAGGATCTGCCTTGCCAGCTACCAGCCAAGCGGAGCTGTGGAAAGCGTATCTGCAGGGGAAAGGCATTATGTTGAGGCAGGCCCCTTCCTTCCCTACCTGATTGAGGACCTGCAAGAGTTTGGGTGGGTCTACTATTCTTGCCTTGGTGTGCAGCTATATATAACTCCAAACTACAGTTAAGGGGGCGGGGAATTCCAGTTTGTTTTGTTCTGTATATAGGATTCAAGCATATTTTTATGCGGCATTCTACAGCAAGGTAAAACAAAAGGCAGGATTCATGTATAGCAAACATTCAGATTGAGAGGCTTAACAACCATGAAAATTTCTGAACAAGCATTTTCAGTGCAGGGAACAGCAGAAGCTGCAAGGTCGGAATAGTGAAAAAGGAAAATAAACGGAGGGAAATTGGAATCTTCACATGCAGTACTGCATATAACATATTGCATGTTATCCTTCATGTGCATCATAAGTTCAGAGACCATCTCGGCCACCATTAACTAATTCCAGCCCAATCCCCTGTATGTTCTTGGTGGGCAACAAATACTGGCAAGACGTCACATTGATGAACCGTACTTCCCTCACCCAAAGTGGTCTGATGCCAAGTGCCTCTGGGATTGCCAACAGAGAGCCAAACGTGGCCAGAGCGTTAATGCAAGAATGCATGCTGTTTTCCTGCAGAAACTTTAAACTTGCAAATCCCTTCTACATATTAAGCGGTGCAGAAAACTGCTGGGCTGTTTTGTGTGTTGTTAATGGTTTATCAGGGTTTTCTTCTGGCTTGAAACCCTTCTGCATTCCCTCTGTAGTTTCCTCTCTCCTCCAATCTCACACATCCTCACTCACCAACCCTTAAACTCACTACACACTTTCAAACTCCAAACAATACGAGAAAGAGAAATAAAATCAATCAATCAATCAACCAACCAACCATGGCACTGTTAAAGATAGTAAAATTAATTTTAAACCTCCCTCAAATAATTAAGTTGCTTTAACTGATATTAGTCTTTTTATGTTGTTGCAACCCACCCTGGGACCTTACGGTGAAGGACGGGGAAGAAATCTCTCTCTCTCTCTCTCTCTCTCTCTCTGTGTGTGTGTGTGTGTGTGTGTGTGTGATGTCTACTCCAAATCTCTACATCTTTTTGTGTTTTACCAAACAGATTTGTCCTGGCTCAGTGCAAGGGTGGAGTTGATTGTTAGGTTTCTGTTTGTGCCACTGTGCAGTGCTTGGAGTCATAAGACTCTGTTTGCATTCCAGATATTCCAGACTGTTGGAAGTCTCATGGGAGATGGGAGACGGATGTTGATATTACTGGTTTCCTGTTCCTTTGTTCCAGTTGCCTCTCTGCTTTCACAGAGAGAGGATGTATACTCTTTTCTGTCTGCGTAGTTAGAAATAAATCTTAGCAATGTAGCTCATACTTTCTCATCCTTCAGCTGCTGCTTGAATACTCTGCGTAATGGGAACGTGCCTGGAGCCTCATCAAAGGCTTAGGTCATTAATCATTGTCGGAAGGGGTTCCGGAGTCTCGACCGGAGGAGTAGCTTGGTAGAACGAAGATTCCAACATTGGCTATATTCCATTATTAGGCTGCTCTCCACCCCTTCTAAAGGGTCTAAATAGCACTTAGTTCCCATTAGGGATAGTGGTTAATTTGTACAGTTAAATCCCACCTGGAAGCTACTTCTCATAACTCTGATGGGGTCAAGGGGTTACTGTGGGGTAACTTAGTGATGAGGGAAGTAGTGCCTTTTAATTTTGATATTTCCTTTATTACTACATTCCAGGGTAAGATTTGAAACTTGATTCTGGAACAGAATCTCAGCTCAATTTAAGGCTTGATTCAATTAGCACTCTACACAATGGGCACAGATTTTTTTATATTATCCCATTCATTTGATCAATGTAGGAACCTATACATATCTGGAATACAACAAAACAGCAACAAGAAGCTCCATGTAATAAATCAACACGTCTCCTGCAGGTTTAAAAAGTCAGGGTGCCTCAGTTCAGAACTCTCTGCTACTACCTCTGAATTTATAGAAATCCTTCCATTAACACTTATCAGGCCTAGCCACACGCCATGCCTTCTGAGTCTCACTGGGGCCTAGCTTGCTCTCGCTGACTGGCTAACTAGCAGAAATGGCTCCAAACTCATTGTCCCAGAGCCAGGCCCAGGCCATACCGGTATCTCTTGTCGTCCAAAGGCACGAAGTCCATGAGCAGCACATAATCAGCCAAGGGATCCATGCCGGATATCTTCACCTGGAAGGTGGGGAACATCCTCCTGCCACAGGGAGAAAGGAGTTTGCCGGGTGATTCTGCTTTCCCACTGCCCACTAACCTCCCTCCATCTTACCCAGGGTAGGGCAAGAGTAGCCAACTGTGTGTCTTCTAGATGTTGTTGGACTCTCCTCAGCCCCAGCCAGAGTAGCCAGCGGTCAGTGATGTTGGAGACTAGCAACATCTAGAGAACATCACATTGGCTACTGCTGAGGGAGATGCCCAGGGCCTTATGCAACAGGCTACAATAGCTTAAGGCAGGGTGGGGATGGGCTGCAGTCCTTAGAGCAATGGTTCGTGGTTTCTTGCCCATTGTGGTGGGAAGCCCACCTCAGGCTTTGTTGTAGGGGGCACAATAAACACCCTTGGATCACACTTTCCCTGATGGTACACAGAGAGTTGTGGTACAGTTTGTAACTGTAGGAGTTTGCTCCATTTAAATAGCAGACCTGCACATTGTTTTGGGCTGTGGTCCTGGGAGTTGTCTGAAAGATAATGTCCTTCCCTAAAAACACTCCTGGACATTAAGAACAGCAGAGGGGGCTCTACTGGCTGTTCTGCTGCCCTCAGGGTGGAGATGGTCCAGGAGAGGGCATTCTCTGCGGCAACCCCTAGGTTGTGTAGCTACCTCCTCATATAGGTGAGCCTGGCAGTTTGGCTATACAATTTTCAGCAAATGCTGAAGAGGCACCTCTTTACTCTGACCTTTGACACTTGAAATATATAGTTTACACATCTGATTTTGGTGTGCACCTTAAGGTGAAGGGCAGGTAAATAAAAACAATGCCAAATGCCTGAATAAATGGGTATTCCATTATATAGGGCACATTATTAAGGACATTGTAATTTGGTGTTACTCCTTAATGTCAGACTAGTAAAAGCTAAGAAGGATTATTGTAGTTCCTGTTTAGTCGCTTTATAGATCAAAGCTGTGTTTTTAATCCTTAATCCTTGGACCAAAGAACATCATACCTACCGCCCTGCCTTGGTGACAATCATCTCAGTGCCAAGGCTATTGAACTCCTCCCAGAGACTCCTCATCTCCAGTTGCACAGTGACGCCAGAGACACACTGGTTTTTCCTGGCCAACTGGGAGCTGACCCCTTGCTTTGCTGCTCCCTCCACTTCATACTGCTCAAACTCTGGCGTTGTCGCCAGCAGGCACGGTGCTCCCACAGGGTTTGGTGAGAAGGGGCAGCCATCGGACGTCAGCACACTCAGGCTTGTGGCGATGAATGCTGGGGATGGAGAGAAGGAGAACTGGCATAATGGCTATATTATGACTATGTATGAACACAGGAGGCTGCCTTACAATGAGTCAGACCTTTGCTCCATGTTGTCAGCACAGACCGAAAGCAGCTTTATTAGATTTCAGACAAGGGGACATTCTTAGCCCCACCTGGAAACGCCGGGGATTGTTCCTGTGCGATGTTGGCATGCAAACAGATGCTCTACCACAGAGCCATGCCCCTTCAGCTCTGACATGAATGACTGTAGCTCAGGAACCATCTGCCAAAGGAGGATGCTGACTCTGAGGCTACTCCTTCCCTGCAGTTGCTTCAGGCAGAGCCATAGCTATGGCGGGGAGCACTAGCTAGGTTCTTTGCCCTGGGTGAAGCATCCAGAGGGGTGCCATTGAGGCTCCCAGCCTATGTGTGTATGCAAATGTGCATGTGTTGGGGGGTGCCAAACTGGGATGAAATAAAGTTTAGTTTCACCCCTGGCTTCAGGGATACAATGAGGGCTCAGCCCCACAAAATGACTATTGGGGGAGAGAACTGGGCTCAGAGGTATCACACTAGAAGGTCCACATGCGTGGACTGTCTTTGAGCCCACCTCTTTCCTTCTTCCCAGTCTGCAAGAGGGGTGGCAGTAGATGGCTGACCGGCCTCCCTAGAGTAAGGGCTCATCAATGCTTTCCTTTGCTCCATGCTTTCTAGGCACTTGTCTGGGCTTTCCATCTCTGAGCAGCTGGGTTTTCTTGTCCTGGCCCTTTCCCCAGGAAAACCTGTGCTTTGCCACTGAATTGGAGCAAACCGAAAGCCACGGAAAACCCAGTTACCGTTTGCTCCAATTCATTGGTAAAACACCAGGACAAAAAACAAAACAAAAAAAACCCCTGCTCGGACAAAGACCTGGAAAACTCAGAGCTGTGCCTAGAAATGTGACACAAAAGGGAATGTGGATGAACCTGAATTCTGCCTGGCTTAGAAGCTCCCATGCACCCATACCGTGTCTCCTCAGACCCATGACTAGTACCTGCTTTCCAGTGGCACGAGAGAAGAGCATGGCTGTCCTGCATGCTCTAGGCAGTTTAGAGAGGACACCAGAGCCCAGTAATCCAGCACTCCACCCCACTGACACCCCACCTGACATCTAGTTTGGTCCTGTCACTACCAAGGCCAGCCCTCACATATAACAGGGACTGGTGTTGGTGGGGTTCTACTTCAGGCAGCAAAATGTCTTGGGTCTGCACTTAATAATATTGCTACAGGACTGCTGTCTGCGGCAATCAGTGTATTGGGGCTATGCCACTCACCTAACCGCTCTGGCTGGGTCAACAGAATATCGGTGCAAACGTGCCAGTGGAGCCCATCTGGCACTCCTGCCAAAGCATCTATACCACCCGGGCATTGTCTCTGTCCCTCACCATCTTGGTATGCTGTGGCAGCTCAGCCAGAGGGAGATCAGGCGAGTGGCGCAGCCTCACTACCCTGTCCACTGCTGCCGGCTGCAGTGCTTACCTGGGTGGGCATGAGGTCCACAGGAGGCTTATGGCAATTTGTGGAGACCCATAGCTTAACACTCCAGTGGGCAACCAAAGTCCACTGCCCTCCCAGTGGACTAGCCTGCACACTAAGATGCTCCACAGCTAAACCTCAGTTCTGTCTCTGTCCTCAGGTTGCTTTGAAAACTCCAAATTTTATGCTGTCCTTTCCGCACAGGCTCCTTTGCTGAACGGGGGCTGGGAGGAGGGAAAGAATACTTTATCATGTATTTTCTTAGCCATGCTTAAGATCAGCTATTGAGAGCCAGCAGCCCAGTCCTTATAACTAGGCTAAATTTATCCAACTGGGTGCAACCCTTCTTTTGCAATTACAGAATCACACATTTAGAAGGGACCTTGAGGGGTCATTTGGCCCAACCACCAAACCCAATAATAATAATATGGAAATAGCTGAGCTGGATCTGATCCGTAGTCCATCCATAGTCACAGCCATGTCATTAGAGGAAATCCCTATGACGTTCTAGAAGTCCCACTTGAACTTCTGGAGTTTCTCAATAATTCCCAACCATTAGACCCATTCTCTCCCTTAAATCTGGTAGTGTTGTTACAGGTCTAGATAAGAGGCAAAGAGACATTCCTCCTGGGAGGAGTGGGCGGGAGATTTCAACCCACAAGTCACACACATCCTAAGCACCGCAGCATCCACCTTGCTTCCCACCCAGGGTGCCAAAGAACCACCAGTTTCATGATCCAAGTACTTAGCTGGAGAGCAGCTCATGGAAAATTTACCTGAGAAGATGCAGCTATGTTGAATGGCAAGGCAAAAGAGCCATAAATGCAAAGCTCCTAACCCACTTTACGGAATCAAGAGGTCTCTACAGATGTCATGAAATGTCCAAAAAGAAAAGTAACAGGGTCCAGAGCACCGATGGGTGCATGCCTGGCTCCTGCAATGCCAAGCAGGCTTTACCTGACATTGCCCGTGATGCTGGGATGACTTCGGGTTGTTTGGTTTGGCTCGTCTCTCTCCGTCTCGCCACGTCCCCCTTTGCAATGTTCTGAGTTTAATCTCTGGGATGGTGTGAGCGATTTTATTTTCCTTCATAACAGTGTTGGGGGGCAGGAGGTGGACCCACGTCAGCCAAGACTTCTACTCCCTCCAATGGGAAGCAAGATGGGGAAATGGGTGGGTGGGGGAGAGGCTTCGTTAGGTGACATGGCAAGACCAACAGCGCATGCTGGAGGCATTTGAGTAGCTACACGTACATGCAGCAAATAAAATGCACAGCGATTAATGAGTAGGATGAGCAGGTGGCCGAGAGCAGCAACCCTGGGACCACATCCTGGGCCGAGACAATATTGCTGAAGCCGGAGGGTTAAAAAGAATAGTGGGTGCAACAGCTTTAATATGTTGTTAGTGTTCCTCAGTGATCCTCATAAAAACCAAGGTGGAGGTCTTGAGTGACAGAAGGGTCAAAGTCTGTAGCATATAGACAAGAGGGGACAGGGCTCCGGGTCAAGTTGTATAGAGGAGGGTTGTGGTTTTTTGGCAGTGCAGCTTTTCTTATTGCTAGAGTTTTAATGACACAATGAGATACCCCTGCTAAATCCCCCTTCTGTGTATCTTTTTAGGGCACAGGAACTCCCACCATCTTCAGGAGCACAGGATGAACTGTTTGATGGAAGCAGCTTGTCAAAACACTGTGTAAATGGTCTCTGAGATGCCTCCCTCTCCTTTAAAGGGGCTGTTTCGTGAGATGGGAGGGGAAACATGTTAGGGGGGTGGGGAAGCCGTGAGGAGAGGGGCTGGGATCAAGCTGTGAGGTGTAAAGCAAGGAAGAGTTGGCCAGGTGTGGGGGAAGAGAGGTTGGCAGCAGGGTTGGCGGGTGGAGCAAAGCAGGGGTAACAGCTTGCAAAAAATAAGAAGAATAGTATCTGTACATTTTGTCTCATATATCAGACTCTGCCAATGCTACAGAATAAACACCCACAAATGTATTAGTTGAACATTTGATAGATAAGGTAAAGATATGTACAATTTTATAACATGCAGAGAACAATATGTGCAAAGAAATCAGAGAGGGGAGCTGAGGGAAGTCCTTGGTGGGGGGGGAGTGGGAGGGATGGGGGAAGGGGGAAAATAATGTAATTGATTATTTGGACTGATAATTTGTTATATTGAAATTGTTTAATAAAAATATTTAATAAAAAAAAGACTCTGCCAGTGCTACAAACATACTTTTTAAATGAAAGCTGGGAATCTGGAGATTATGTTTCCTCCAGGAGGTGCAACTGTCCCCTATTGTCTCTCTCCCCCCCCCATGGATGCCCACTACTAACACACAAAGCTCCCCACCTGTCCTCTTCCTCATGCCTTCTCCAAGCATGCAAATAAGGATGCAAGAGCAGCAGCTGCCTCCATTTCCCTTGCCCTCTCCTGCTGGGCCCAGAGGGAGAGGGACAGTGGTTGGGCAGTGGCAGGAGTGGCAAAGAGGTGGGCTTGCTCAGGGGGCAGACAGTGAGTGAACCCACATCGAGGGGTGGCTTGCATTCTTCAAGTAGCCATCCCAGATCAAGCACGGCATGAAGAGGCTCAGTAGGCTAGTGAGGGAGCCATCTTCCCTTCCTCTCCTCCTCTCCATGCTCAGCCCTCAGGCACAGGGCCATGGTCTTCCCCTCCATCCATCTTC